CACAATATAAAGCTCTTCAGTGTAGGATTTATAATTTTTAAACTACAATCGTTTGAACATGGCAACCGCCAGTAAAGTGAGCAAGTTGGAGCAGTTTGTTTTTAACCGCTCTTCTCTGCCCTTGCTGTAGAGTGAGTTGCATAAGTTTTTAACCCACTCCATAAAGTCACTCTGCCCAGTCCAACCTTTTCACAGTTACTCCAGCCACTCCAACCACACAAGTTACTCAAGCCACTCCACCCAGTTACTCCGCCCACTCCAGTTGTAGACTACTGGTGGAGGCAAGAACACTTCACTAGCTTTTCTAGTTAATAACTGCATTTTTTAAATCACCTTGAAATAATTTTTTATACTTCATGTAATGACACATTTTTACAAGCTTGCTCTTCCATATTTTGTTATTCTATTAAATATAATTGGCAGGTTAGCCACAAAAGGGAACTTGTTACAATGACCCTTTTTGTCAGTCCTAACGACTGTTGAGATATGATTATAGCCACTCAGGGAATGCAGTGTTTTCATTGAGTCAGATGACTCCTAGACTTCCATTGTCAGAAGCTATAGTAAAGCATAACAATTGTATAGCAATGCAAAGCAGGAAGCAGAGCCTGAATATGTAACAAGCAAACATGGCTGCCCCCATATCACATATATAATTACAAACTAGACACAGAAGGTGTTGAGCCATGACAGCCTCCATAGGTTTACTAAATGCATGTTTCTTTAGTACAGTCAAAACTAACACATAGCATTCTTGTTTAGCTCCACCCAGTATCAGAGAACCACCCACTGGGACCAAAGAGACAGTTCTCCGTGTTGGAGGAACTCTTACATTACTGTGTGAATCTGAGGCTCTCCCCCATCCAGCTGTCACCTGGTATAAGAACGGCCAACTACTCCAAAGTAGCGGTAGTGTTTCCATCTTGAACAGTGGCCAGAGACTGGAGATACAGAATGTCAAGGTAGGTACTTAAAAACTCTCTTAGTTAAACCGTGAAAGGTATAAAATAGCTGACCTTGTAACAATTCTCACCAAAACCAGTCCCCACTGAAAAATATTTCCTCTTTAAAGGAACTAACTCACAAAGCAAAACAAGTGCTGTGATGGAGGCAGCCATTTCCCAGCTGAAATTCTTCATTCTAATTCTATTAGAAAAATAAAATTGTTTGCTTCATGAAAGATTAACTTGCATACACAAGATTTTCAGAAGATTCACATTAAACTGATCATCATATTTACATGTATATCTGAAAAAAAAAAAAATCTCGCCTCAAAGTAGTGAAAGCCTCCGCCAATAATTCAGGAGCCACTGTCACAGTTGGAGCCGCTGGGTTCAGTGTTGCACAGCACACATTCCTCCAATAAACCAGTCCGGCATTAACTTGTAACTTACAAAATGGGTTTTCTTTATTCCAACATCAAGCAGATCCAATGCAATCTGCTGCATCTAGCATAAATATAATGAAAGCAACACCTGGCTTTAATCGTAGCAAAAATGTTATGAAGTATATTGATGTCTTATATAGGACTGTAGTATAGTTTAACATCTTATATAATGGTCACTAAAAAGACAATACGTTTTGTGAAATGCAATGCAAATTATTATATGGAAATATTCTGCATTGTTAATTCTAATCAGATGGCTTTAGTCTAGTTTTCATATGTTTGCCCGTCTATCTTATCTGCTTTGTTTAAACTGAATCTGTGCTTGGCTCATACAGAGCAAAGCAACAGGTTCCCTTTAATGTCTCCAACCCAGCAGCATTCTCTCACCAATTTTATTTTCATTTTTCTGGTGCTCTGTTTAGTTGTCAGGAGTGAAAAGAATGTCCTTAGCTACAAATTACTGGAGCTGAGCATGCAGAGGGCTATAGGATCCCTATGTAACAGCACTCATAGGCCAGGCACTGTAACACAGAGCAAGCAGGGGCGGACTGACCATTTGGAAACTCGGGCACCGCCCGAGGGCCTGGGGTCAGTAGGGGGCCCCATGAGATGCCCCTTGTCCCCTGCAGACATGTCCATCTGCACAGCTCTTCACTGAGAGGATCAGTGTACTGCTATTTTTATGCCTTCTGGGGGGGTTGAGGAATGTGATCATGGTACATGGTAAACATGGGTGTAACATGAAACATGATCACGGAGGTGGACTATGTCCTTAAAGCCCAAATTGTATATTTTGTTATGGATTGAATTGGGTAGAGTTAATCTCTCAGCAGGGGCGAACTGACCATTTGGAAACTCGGGCACTGCCCGAGGGCCTGGGGTCAGTAGGGGGCCCCATGAGATGCCCCTGGTACCTTTTTCATAGGCTTTTTTGAGTTTGGGCAATGATACAGGGACCCCATGATCCCCTATTGCCCAGGGGCCCCATGAGTTGTCAATCCACCCCTGGGAGCAAGTCACATGCTCCTCCATACTCAGATGTATTTCCTCCAGCTTCCAATACTGAGAGGAGTGAGGAGAAGATTGAAGGAAAGGTAATATAGGCCATGCATGGATTGAAATTCATCCGGTTCAACAGGGACTGGACAAATTTAAAACCACATATGGCTGCTGTGGTTGAACAGTAGTCGATCTACCAATTGACTTCTCTTCAACTACCCTGTCGGATTTTAGCCACTTGATCAGAGCTGCAGGTTATATTATGCAGCTCTGATCAGTGTATTCTGATGGCAGAGAAGTCTGCCTATTGTCAGAATACGACACAGCATTGAGGATTGCCCCATCCACTCTGAATGTGGATGGGAGGAATCAGGTTTTTTGTTCAATCCGCTGGCTGAGCACAAAAAACAGAATCATCTTTGGGCTGCCTAAGTCTGATGTTTCTGGGGAAGACTGCGTTAAAGTCTGTTGTTTCGCCTTGAATTTTTAAGGTACAGGTTTACTTAAAGAAAACCTGTTGTTTTCAAATCTAAATAGATCAAGATGAAATGTACTTATTTTTTGTAAAAAAAAAAAAGATAAATCATAAACAGTAAAAAAAAAAAAACAGTTTAAAATATTGTAAATAAAATTGAGCCAACCCCATTATAGTCGGATATAATCTGTATTTCGTGATCTATTTTGTTATTGTGCTGTGTCCTTGATTTAATTTGCAGGCATCAGATAAAGGTGTCTACACCTGCAAGATGAGCAATGTAGCTGGTGAAGCTGAGCTGACCTACACAGTGATCATACAGGGTGAGAGAGTAACAAAGATCACACGACTAAAGCAGAGAAAGTAACAATAAAATGACTCTACACACTAGTTTTGTCTATATATTCAGTATAAAAAAGGGTATATTTGTTCATGTAACTTTTTCCTGCAGTACCAGTTTCCATCATCCACCCACAGAATGAGACGATTCAGCTTACCATTGGGAATTCTATAGTGTTATCATGTGAAGCTGAAGGTTCTCCACCACCTAAGATCACATGGCTGAAGGACGGGCAGCCGTTGGGTAAGTAGGATGCAAAGAGGTAATATCTACTGCCCACAAAGGTCTTCAATAAAAGGTTATAGTTTCCTTTCTGTGTATTTGCTGCATTGGGGCAGCCGCATTAGTCCGCATTACACATAGTGAGTGCAGAGGGCCATGTGTGATCTAGACCCACTTCGTAATCAGCAACTCTGGGTTGGCTTTTATGGAAAATCACGTATCAATGATACATATAGAAACGTGTCTAAACTAAAGTCCATCTTCAAACAGCTGGCCTATGTTTATTTACATTAAAGAAAATATAGTATATTAGTGAGCACATATCTTGAGTAATATTATACTATGAAGTAATTTACATGTTTGTAGGTTTCTCCTCCATATTTTTTATTGTGTTAAATGTGGAGATGAGTAAATAGCCCATTAGTGACAGAGTAAATATAGCTACTATAATCAACGAACTCTTCCTTCAAGGCAAAAAAAATAAAAAAGTAAAACCCAGAGCTTCATGGAATTCCTGTGGCTGACCTATGGGCTAGAGAGCTGAATTCCCCGCTCTGTGGCAGTGCAGCATCCTGCTCCACTCTGTGGCAGTGCAGCATCCTGCTCCATACTAAAGCATGACCACTGTGTAGCACTGCAAAGCAGAAAGCAGAGTCTGAATATGTAATGTTCAAAAATGGATGCTTCCATGTAACCACTGTATATAATTAGAAATGATACTTTGTATGTTTGTAAAATTTTTGTATGTAAAAGTATATACAGTGGGTATAGAAAAGAATCACCCCCTTTAAAATAATCACATTTTGTTGCTTTTGCAACCTGAAATGAAGGCAGGCACAGTTTTTATTTTATCCAGCTTATTTACTCAGTGCACCTTATACCATCCAAGTGAAAGATATACTGTAACACCAACATGTCAGAAAAAAAAAGTTCAAAAGCTGAATCACTGAGTTGGAAAAAGGATCACCCCCCTCAAAGCCATTTGACTTTAAACTGTGATCAGCTGTGGTCATTTTGATTAGCTCAGCATGAAAAGAGATTTCCTGGAGCATTTCAGTCCCTGGTAGTCTTCATTTCAGGTTACAAAGCAACAAAATGTGATTATTTTGAAGGGGGTGATTCTTTTCTATACCCACTGTATATATGCAATGACAGTTGACCCTGTCATGGATGAAGTGGGCTTTGTTGAATCCAAACTGGCCCATCAGCTTTTACCTGTAGACTGATCTGACCAAGACATCTACTTATATTTGATGGTTACTGTAGATACTGCAGTTATCACCCGATTCAGACAAATTTGATAAGACTGTGAAGAACTATGTCTGTGTGTCTGTGGACATTTTTAATTTTTCTGGAGAAATGATTTCATGTGCAAGGACTAAACAAGCCATAAATGAAAAGTGTAAATGAGCAAATTTTTGTTTGTATGTCATGTATGTTTTGTCTATCTAAAGCTGTCTATTAATTTTTCAGAGCATGTAGGAGACTGGGGAGTGATCATCAGGGGTAATCGGCTGCAGATTGGCAGAGTACAGCCCTCACATGCAGGTCACTATAGCTGTATAGTGCAGAACCATTTATCTCAAACTCACAAAGACTTTCTGCTGCTGGTACAAGGTATGAGCCTAAATAAGATAAAGGCATAAAGGAGGTGGTTTATAAAGCAGTGGTATGGCCATTCCCCTGCTTTTCAAAAAAAACAAAACAAAAAAAAAAAACATTTCTTCGGTTATGAAATCTGAAATAGAAAATGGCTATAAAACCTATTTTAGCCTTTGTAATGATTTGAACTGTCAACATCTTGTATGTATCGTAATAATAATAATATTCCTTTTATTATGGTAGAAAACCCTTCTTTTTTTTTTTTCCACAGTGGCTCCAACAATTGTTGGATCAGAAATACCAAGTGAACGAAGCATCCAGTTGAAACAGGAGGTAACACTAGAATGTAAAGTGGAGGGAACACCTGCACCCCAGATTTTGTGGCTGAAGGATGGAAGACCCCTGGATCTTGTCTCCGCTCCAAACCTGCGGTAAAATCAAACAGGAGCTATGCTGATCATAGTTTACCTTACCAGTCTTTGTGAGATTTCAGGTCTTAAAGGGTCAGTTCACCCAAAGCTAGTTCAGTTGGATGACAGAGAAAACATTTATGAACTCTGCACTGAGCTCCCAGTTCTGCACACCCCATTATGGACCCTTTCTCCATGCTGGATTTCCTATTAACTTTATATTATGAAGCATTCAACAGGAGCTGAAGGTGCACAGGTCCACCTAAAACTCTGAGGTGCACATGAGTCAATTATTGCAGGGAGCATCCAAGACATATAAGAAGTTAGAGGCTCTCTTTGTCAACTCACTTTTATAACTAAAACATTACTTTTTGTTGCCCTGACACTATTTTTTAATAAATCAACCCTAAAGGCAATTGCAAAATCACAAACATACTTCCATATGAGCCTAAGATAAATCGGGTGCAGACAAATGCCTGAGTATGTATCTATGTGCATGGGTTGTACTTGGTTTATCACTATATGTTTTGCCTTGTCAGTCTGTCCCAAGATGGAAGCTCTGTACATCTTACATCCGTGCAACCCTCTGACTCTGGCCGCTATACATGCCTGGCTCGTAATGTCGCTGGTGAAGACACAAAGGTTTATGTACTGAACATTCTTGGTATGTACCACAGCACCCTGGGATTTATCATGCACAGCTGTCATTAGTTAAAAATACCCATGAACTTAAAACAGATCTAAATTCATAATTCATTTATAGTCTATCCCCTCCACAAAAATGTTCCTTGTCCTAAGCTAGCTCTAAAACTGCCCATACACTAGTAGAATTTTATACGAATATTCGTATGATTATTTTCATCAGAGCATTCTTAGAACCTTTTTACTGTCCGTATTGAGTCAACTATTTTTTGTTTGAAAGCCTTTTGTTTACATCTGCTATTTGAATGTAATCCTTGACACATTAAACAGGTTTCATTATAGCCTGTATGATATATTCATACAATTTTCCTGAATGAAAACTGCATACACTGTTAGAATTTTGTTGGGAAAACTTTTTCATCCTGCTCCTTTGAACGTTTTTTGTCTCTACAGTTTAAAATGAACAACTATTTGACCCAACTACCCATTAGATAGTCGAATGAAATTTCCGAAAACAAACCTTTTTGTACAAAATTTTACTAGTGTATGGCCATCTTAAGACTGCCAGGAGTTGGAGAAATACTTACCTTTCAGGAGCTTCAATCTACTGTTACCTGGTAGACTGACCCCCAGTTCACATATATGCGGCCGTGCGGGCCGTGTTTTGCATGGGCACGAGAGCCCATTCATTAGAATGGACTCCCGTGCCCATGACACGCAAGGAAGAAGTCCCTGCACTTCTTTGGAATATGCAGCCCACACGGAACCTTGGTTCTCAGTACAGTTGCATTTTCCAGTGTGGGCGGCGTGCCATTAGAAATAATGGCACCCACCCGCGGGTCCACATTCCTCTGTGCAAAAAGGTCTGTCATAGATTATTTTGGTTTTCAAATGGAGCCTAGGTACTAGGAGATGCTTGAGCATATGTTGCCTCCTAGAAGAACATTAAACAAGCTTAAATTAGGAGCCATTGTAATAAGCAGAAATCTTTTCAGCTTTTTCTTAGTGTATTCTGTTTTTCTTAAAGCTATACAACTAAAGGAAACTGGTATTCTTGCTTCACTAGTTTGAGTAACTGACCTGGATAAGGCATGCAGATACTGTCATCAGAACTCCTGATTAGAAATAATGGCACCCACCCGCGGGTTTACATTCCTCTGCAGCAGCACCACCCGCACATATGTGAACCTAGGGTAAGTCTGAATCTGAGACAGGGCAAAGGGTGGGTCTGTGTGCAGGGAGAGGCACTGATTGACTTTTTAAGTCAGTTTGTCACTGTGCTGAGTGAAAATCCATGGCTTTCTTTGGAAAGTTCTCCTTGGCTGCCTTTGCTGAGTTTTCCTAGGCTGCAGTTGTTGAGATCCATACTTTCTGAGCCCCCTAACCTAGAACCAGAAAGAAATGCCCGTAGCGAAATAAAGAAGAAATAGCGCAGGGCATACATGACTAGGCCCAGAGTGGGTGAAGGAAGAGCAGAAAGGGTTAAGGTAGCTCCAGGGGGATTTGTTATTGTTGGTGGGGGGTAGCTGATTGGTAGAGGTTGGTGTAGGTGGGGTTTTGCTGCACCTTAGGGTGGGAGGTTCTGTGAGGGGGGCGTCAGTTAGCTGGACGGCAAGAGTGTGAGCTTCCCTCCCGCCCTCCCTGTTTGGGTGAGTTTTGGGTCCCTCCAGGTAGAGGGGGGGATTATGTTGGTTCATGGACGGTTGTTGGTCTTTGGAGGCGGTTCTTATTTGGACGGTAAACAACAATGGTGTGGGGAAAACTCATACAAATGAGCGCAGAGAGGCCACTCCAGGTGGAAACATGTGAACAGTTAATCATGAGCTCACCACTGCTGCCTTGTTAATCATATGCATGATGAAGAGAACTGGAAAAAAAGGCGCTGTGGAAAATGCTCTCAGACAAGCACCTTAGTGGAGGTGCATCTTTATTGGGTGAGATAAAGTAGCAAGTATAATAAAATTAACCAGCCTGAAGTGGACAGTGTGATTCCAATGGACGGCCCGTCCGCTCTGAAGGGAGCTGAGATCAAAGAATGCTCCTGTCGGCTTCAAATCACGTGGTGTCAGCGTACCAGCGTCCTGGGTGGTGTCACCATGGCAAACGAAGGCAGTGTCCGGCGTTGGCTTCAGCTGGGAGCATATGTGGGGTTACCAAGACGACATGTTTCGCGCAGTTGCGCTTTGTCAAGTCTCTGGTAACCATGGCCGGCGGCCATTATATAGAAGACCATTAAAGGGAAGGCTGGCTGAGTGTAATTAGCAGGGGATGGGGTGTCAATCAGAGCGGACGGCTCGTCCTGAAGCAATGCTGAATACAAATTTAAAGGTACAGATTGCAAGTTATAAAAAATGATATGTATAAAAACAATAGCATTGGAAAGCATGATATACTTTCATCTTTAGCGAAATAAAGGTAATACAATAACAAAAAAAAAAAAACAAAACAAAAAAAAAAAACACACAAGTTAAAAATGACATCGCTGGTTCATGGAAGCTATGTCAAAAATTGCGTTTACAGTGAGGTAATTATGGGTATATGGGCAAAGAAGGGAGTAGGGAGAAGTGAATGCTAGGCATATGAAAATGACTGTATCAAAGGTATATGAAAATGACTGTATAAAAGGTATGACTAAAAGGAATATAATAAAATCAATCCTGGTATCAAATTAGGTAGCTCATATGTTCATAATTAAATAAATATAATAGATGCGTAATAACATGTATTCGTAATTGAGTGCACAGAATATATACATGGTGACAGTGCAGATTAAAAAACAAGGATTAAAAGAAGACAATACTGTATGTAATAAAAAACACACTGGAGGATCCTAGTTCCGGGGACTAGAAGTCAAACTTGTTAAATAATGCTATGGATTTCAAGATCCTCATTGAGACCATTGGGGGTCATAGAACCTAATTTGTAGATCCAGAACGTCTCTCTCTTACACAAACGGGCTAGTCTTTCATTGTCAGTAAATGTACCCTTTGGAATATGTTCGATTGCTAAGACCTCAAGAAGACTGAAATTATTTTGATGGGATTGCAAAAAGTGCCTAGGGACACTATGCTTATCGCATCCATCTCTTATAAGTCTTCTGTGCTCCCCTATGCGTTTGCGTAGAGGGCGTGTGGTTCGGCCTACATATAGGAGCTTACACGGGCATGTGAGAACGTATATGACGTGGTCAGTTGCACACGTTATAAACTGACGAATGTGGTAGCTGTTGCCCTGGGAGTCCAAAAACTGTGATCTGCCATGGGTGATGGACTGACAGGTGAGACAACCTCTTTTGTTGCATCTGTAGATACCAATTCTGTCGTCAAATGTAGGAAGGGGGCCGTTGTCTATGTAGGTGGACAGTGACATTTTGCTTGGGGCTAGAATGTTTTTCAAACAACGGGCTCTCTTGAAAGTTACTCGTGGGGCGCGTGGGAGATTAGGTGCTAATCTAGGATCTAATTGTAAAATGTGCCAGTGTTTGCGAATGATGTTTGTAATATCACGATGTGATGTGTTGAAACCAGTGATGAACCTAACCGAGTTAGACTGGTCACGGGCCTGAGTGTATGTTCGGTCTATCAATACGCTATGTTTGGTATATGCGTTTTTTATAAGGGAAGGGGGATAGCCTTTCTCAGAAAACTTTTATACAGTCATTTTCATATACCTTTGATACAGTCATTTTCATATGCCTAGCATTCACTTCTCCCTACTCCCTTCTTTGCCCATATACCCATAATTACCTCACTGTAAACGCAATTTTTGACATAGCTTCCATGAACCAGCGATGTCATTTTTAACTTGTGTGTGTTTTTTTTTTTGTTTTTTTTTTTTTTTGTTATTGTATTACCTTTATTTCACTAAAGATGAAAGTATATCATGCTTTCCAATGCTATTGTTTTTATACATATCATTTTTTATAACTTGCAATCTGTACCTTTAAATTTGTATTCAGCATTGCTTCAGGACGAGCCGTCCGCTCTGATTGACACCCCATCCCCTGCTAATTACACTCAGCCAGCCTTCCCTTTAATGGTCTTCTATATAATGGCCGCCGGCCATGGTTACCAGAGACTTGACAAAGCGCAACTGCGCGAAACATGTCGTCTTGGTAACCCCACATATGCTCCCAGCTGAAGCCAACGCCGGACACTGCCTTCGTTTGCCATGGTGACACCACCCAGGACGCTGGTACGCTGACACCACGTGATTTGAAGCCGACAGGAGCATTCTTTGATCTCAGCTCCCTTCAGAGCGGACGGGCCGTCCATTGGAATCACACTGTCCACTTCAGGCTGGTTAATTTTATTATACTTGCTACTTTATCTCACCCAATAAAGATGCACCTCCACTAAGGTGCTTGTCTGAGAGCATTTTCCACAGCGCCTTTTTTTCCAGTTCTCTAACAATGGTGTGGGACCCATCCGTGGTATGGGATGCCCGGAGACATTCCCAGTTAACCAAGGTTTAACTGGAAGGTGGTGGTGCTGCACTGCGGACGGTATGGTTGTCTCCGAGCTGGTTGGTTGCGGCTGGAGGCCTAGTGTATATGGTTGTCCGCAGGTGCATTTCGGATCGTTTTTGGGGTGCCTTCGAAGTCCAACAACAATTCTGTTGGTTTCTGTTATAAGGAATGGTTGGTGGCGGTTGTTGGTCTTTGGAGGCGGTTCTTATTTGGATGGTAAACAACAATGGTGTGGGACCCATCCGTGGTATGGGATGCCCGGGGACATTCCAGTTAACCAAGGTTTAACTGGAAGGTGGTGGTGCTGCACTGCGGACGGTATGGTTGTCTCCGAGCTGGTTGGTTGCGGCTGGAGGCCTAGTGTATATGGTTGTCCGCAGGTGCATTTTGGATCGTTTTGGGGTGCCTTCGAAGACCAACAACAATTCGGTTGGTTTCTGTTATAAGGAATGGTTGGTGTATTGTAACTTGAGTTGTTAATAAAAGGCCATGTTGGCCATTTACTCCAAAATTGATGTTATGTCTTTTGTTAGTATAATTGGTTAAGGGGAAGGGGGTTGGTGTGGAACGGTAATGGTGGTAATGGGGAAGTGGACGAGCCTATCTCTGGTGCAATAGTCATGCCAATCAGGAGTTCTGATGACAGTATCTGCATGCCTTATTCAGGTCAGTTACTCAAACTAGTGAAGCAAGAATACCAGTTTTCTTTAGTTGTATAGCTTTAAGAAAAACAGAATACACTAAGAAAAGCTGAAAAAGATTTCTGCTTATTACAATGGCTCCTAATTTAAGCTTGTTTAATGTTCTTCTAGGAGGTAACATATGCTCAAGCATCTCCTAGTACCTAGGCTCCATTTGAAAACCAAAATAATCTATGACAGACGGTTTTGAATCTGAGTGTGACAGGAGGGGGTTTCCTGGTCCCTCTCTCTCCTGATATACAGTATGTCCAATGACAGTTCCACTACTCCATGTATTGTTTCTAGTTATGTTCATGGAAAAGTTATTTTTTTATTTAACCAAAGTTTTATTGAATAAAGTCAACATTAACATTGAAAATACTAAAGGCAGGACAATAATATCATTCTTCTATAATATGGTTTTCAGAATTCCCAGTATCACAAACTGAATATCACATGGTGGTAAAAGCAAAAGCACAAAGTGATATGATTTTCCAAGTATAAAGAGGCAGTGTTTCAGACCTTCAGCAAAGGTAACAATTAGGGATGCACCAATACCATTTTTTGATCTGTGACTACAAGTACTGATACTTTTGGTCAAGTACTCGCTGATACTGAATACCAATACTTTGTGGTGCGATTTGCGTCAATACAAAAATGTTTGGATGCAAATTGAACCGCAAATAATAGCGTGTCATTTGAACAGGTAATGGCGATTCCTGTCACATGTGGTTTCCCCACTGCTCCTGTGTGAACCCAGGCTTGTCAATAACCTGAGCTCACACAGGAGTGTGCTAGTGGAGAGTGCGGGGATGTTATACCTTGGTGTCGCTGGCCATCAGAGGATAGAGGCAGATGCTTTGGATTCTTCAGCTGTAGAAGAGGAGAGAAAGCCGACGGGGATTTCATCTGAAATCCCCACGGATTTCTCTTCTCTTCTCTGCAGGGATGGACTGTTACAGGCTAAATTACTTTTGATTGGCCGTGTCACACCCATCACGGTGCTGGAATGACAGTAATAGGCTAGACGCTTTCTGATTGGTCAGCGCCCATGATGGTGCAGACCAATCAAATGCCAGTCTAATGCCCGTACGGTCATCCTTACGAAATCCCCATGGTTTTCCTATCCTCTCCTACACCTGAGAAATCCAGAGCACCTGGCCTCTACCCTCTGCGCCTGATAGCCAACACCAGTGTATGCATCCCCAAAGCAACCCTACGCTCTCCCACTTTTCGCACATCACTTGCTGAACATGGGTCGCGATGGCAGGGAGACATTATTGTACCCAAATCATGCCACAAAGGAGTATCAGTTCGCGGGGTATCTGGGAGCCATTTCACGAGTACTGCGTGAAAAAACTTCAGTATCTGCGCATCCTAGTCTGTCTTAAAATCTACATTTTATGGGTAAGAACCACTGAGGAACCCATAAAATTGATATTGCCAATTTAACATCCCTTTTCTCTAGCTTCCCAAATTAAGGTGCTGAGAACTCATGGCTTTAATCTCATAATTCTCTGTATGTTATGTTACTGTAAATCCCTTGTTTCTTTGTCTTTCCTGTACAGCTCCCCCAGTGTTTGAATCAGGCTCCAATGTTTCTGAGACCCTCAGCAGTGTCCCAGGATCACAGGTTACCTTGGAGTGTCATGCCAGTGGTTCATTGCCAATGCAACTGATGTGGTTGAAGGATGGGAGTCAACTTTCCTCATCCCGATTCCTCAGGATCTCCTCAGGAGGCGCATCCTACGGTAAAGAACCAGTCTTATGATTTTGTAGTATTAGTTTCTATTTTTGTGAGGCAGTAATTAGCAATATTTATGATTTTTGTTTTCTTTAATGAACACATTGAATAACTTCATGAATGTTTCTGTATGTTGCCCACTGCTGATCAGTTGTTACAAGAGGAAGATTGTAGATATAAAAAGTAGGATTAACGTACATCTATCATTTTCAAAACATCTGGTGTAGGGATTGCATGTACAAAATGGAGGCGCCTAGAGATATCTGAACATACCTTCAGAAAACCTCTAGAGTACCTCTGGAGCATCGAAACCAGGGTACTTTAATCTTCAAGATCCAACACCTCCAGGTGATGTTAAACATCTACAGTGCATTTGGTTGTTAGAGACCACGTAATATTTGCCTAGTCTTTAGATAACATGTAATTTTGTACTCATAGCCCAGGGCGGCACAGTGGCTTAGCGGTTAGCATGTCTGCCTTACAGTAAATGGGTTATGGGTTCGATTCCCGACCATGGCACCTCCTGCATGGAGTTTGCATGTTCTCCCTGTGCCTGCGTGGGTTTCCTCCGGGTACTCCGGCTTCCTCCCACACTCCAAAGACATGCTGGTAGGTTAATTGGATCCTGTCTAAATTGGCCCTAGTATGTGTATGTATGAAAGTGAGTTAGGGACCTTAGATTGTACTCCCCTTGAGGGTTAGGGACTGATGTGAATGTACCATATATATGTAAAGCGCTGCGTAAATTGACGGCGCTATATAAATACCTGAAATAAATAAGGGTTGGCCCATCCCTTCCCACATCTGCATTTCTATTGGCAAGGGAGGCTGTCCATCATAATAAGGGGTTCCCCTGCAAAATGTGAATTATTTTATCTTTTCTGCTTCGCATATACTAGTGTTAAACAATGTTGTGCCTGCTGATCCCCTATATCACTTTTACCAGGTACAGTGTCTATGAGCAGACTTTCTGTATTCTCTAATGACCTGAAACATCTACAGTGCATTTGGTTGTTAGAGACCACGTAATATTTGCCTAGTCTTTAGATAACATGTAATTTTGTACTCATAGCCCAGTCAATCAGACAGGATAGAAAATTTGTGGTCATATCAATGGCTATTAATTGGTATTCAAGCAACTTTTTTCTTTTGTTCTTTTTTTAAGTCTGCTAACAAATTGTGTTTTAAAAAAGTCAACATTGTACACTCACCAGCCAAGTTATTAGCTACACCTTGCTAGTACTGGGTTGGACCCATTTTGCCTTCATAACTGCTTTAATTCTTTGTGGCATAGATTCAACAAGGTGTTGGAAACATTAATCAGAGATTTTGGTCCATGTTGACATGAGTTACTATTTCCTTTCTATCAGCTCGAACCAGTCTGCCCATTCTCCTCTGACCTCAACAAGGCATTTTAGTCCACATAACTGCCACTCACTGGATATTTTCTCTTTTTTTTGGACTATTCTCTGTTAACCCTAGAGATGGTTGTGTGTGAAAATCCCAGTAGATCAGCAGTCTTTGAAATACTCAGACCAGCCCGTCTGGCACCAACAACTATGCTATGGTCAAAGTCACTTAAATCCACTTTCTTCCCCATTCTAATACTCGGTTTGAACTTCGGCAAGTCGTATTCACTATGGCTACATGCCTTAATGCATTGAGTTGCTGCCATGTGATTGGCCATTTGTGTTACCAAGCCAGTGAACAGGTGTACCATATAAAGTGACCAGTGAGTGTATAGTGTTTCATTCTACTGCACGTAGAAAAATAGTTGTGTTTTTTTATCAATTATAGGGATATATTAATAATTTATTTTTTGTTTGCAGTTGAAATGTGATCATTATGGTATAGAATCAATCTAATCTGTGGTCAATAGCTAATGTGTGTGCATGACCCAAATTACAGGTCATGTAGGAGCACAGTTGTGTAAATTGTTGATTTAGCAAAAGGGCCATCCTAATTCAATCTGGAAAACATAATTTTAGTGGTTATTTGAAGAAACATTTGGAAGCAATAATTTGATAATTTCTTATGTTAAACATTGTCATCCTCTGGTGATATAACCTGCTGTTACTGTGTTTCTGTGCAGGATATCCCAAGTACAGGTCTCAGATGCCGGCATTTACACCTGTGTAGCATCGAGTCCTGCTGGAAGTGCAGAGAAAAGTTTTACCCTTCTGGTTGAGAGTATGTATCGTACCACAATGTTAACTGACAATATATTTATATGAAGGTACTAATGGATTACATATGTATCATTGTGTGGAACCACAATCCTCTGTCCATGATTCACTAAAGTGAAAGCTTCTGTTCAGACAAAAAACACTTTTCTCTGGGTGTCTGATGTAATGGCCAGCTATGTCTCTTCTTTATAGCATAAGAGCCTTAAATCTGCCAACATCAGGGGCGGACTGACCATTTGGAAACTCGAGCACTGCCCGAGGGCCCGGGGTCAGTAGGGGGCCCCATGAGATTCCCCTGGTACCTTTTTCATAGGCTTTTTTGAGTTTGGGCAAGGACACAGGGGCCCCATGATCCCCTATTGCCCAGGGGCCCCATGAGTTGTCAGTCCACCCCTGGCCAACATTATGATAGTATCATTAGTTGAAGCAGACGTTATTCCCCATAAATTGGCTATCACACTGTTGCTGAATAAAGCCAGCTGTATACGGTTCGAATCTCAGCCGGTTCATCAGGGACTGTTGGCCGAGATTAGAACCATGTATGGGCAGGCTGAGTGTACCCAAGTTGATCGATCGATCAATTTGGGTACAGCCAGCCTGGCGGATTTTACATGTGATTATTGCTAACAGCTATTATAGGTACTAGCAATATTCACTGTGTTTTCCTGGCGGGGCTGGCTTCCCCTGCCCCCTTGCTGCCCAACACATTGGCTCGGTGGGAGGAATTTCCCTGTCAACACTATCTGTGTTGATGCGGGAACCTGTGGCTGCAGGAAGGAAATTTGCACCCTCTATGGCTTGTTTTAGTATTTGTGTTTAGCGAAGGCATTGGATTACTACCACCCAGTTAGTCTGTGATTCAGGTTTGCTGCTAGGTTTAAAATTAACCCCTGCACATTGCCTTCCTTTTCTATCTCTTCTACAGTCCATCCCTTTACTCTCCTTCCATACATCTTTCTCATACCATTTACACACCTGCGTCATAAATGTTGCTACTCACTTATGACTTGTTTGTCTCCTACATGCTTGCCCACAGGAGATAAAAGGTCAGTAAAATACTAAATCTCTTTTAAGACATGATTGTGGTGCATGCTTTATAAAGATTGACTAAAGACCATATGAAAGAAGACTTCTGTATCTTAAATGTGACTGATACAGAGACATTTTTTTTTTTTGTTGGCCAAATGAAAATCAGGCAGAAAGTGCCCTTTAAGTCCTGCTACTCTGAACTTTTACTTTTGGATATCTGATATAAATATATGATGATCTCTCTATACCAGCCTTGCCAGTGGAGAATTCAGAGAGTACTGAGGAAGTGACTGCCATCAAAGGCTCCTCTGTGACATTCACCTGTGAAGCTCATGGGTCTCCGCTGCCCTCGCTATCCTGGGAGAAAGATGGCGAACCTCTCAACTTGCAGAGTAATCTTCTGCCCAATGGTCTGGGGACTCGGCTGTACCTGGAGTCAGTTCATGCTGGGGATTCCGGTCTTTACTCCTGCATCGCTCACAATGCTGCCAGAAGAGTCAGCAAACATTTCCGTCTGATTGTTCTAGGTATGTTGGTCAAGAATGACTCGTATCTATAGGTTGCATGAATGACTTTGCCTGTAGGTTGCATGAATGACTTTGCCTGTCTTACAAGTGTTTTGGCTAATTGCTATGTTGGGACTAAAGACTCAGTGGTCTATATAGGGACAGATAGACACAGCCATATAGATACTTGAAGTGAACTTGTACTTTCCCCTTACTAGCCAAAGTAACAGGTTCACTTATGTATCTAACCAAGCTTCGGTGGTTCTTCGATCTGTTACCAGACCACTCAGAAAATACCTGGTACTTCTGGGTGTTAAGGAAACTCGTGGTACTCCCCGTGCCTCCCCAAAATGTCATTGAAGTGGTCCATCAAGTCTGCCCCATTTTTTTTTTTTTACTTTTTTGCTTGAGTATAGATCTGTGCTTGTTTTAGCGAGAGTCATTTTACACAGATCTGTGCAAGTTTCAGATAGCTATTATGGGGAACTTGCAACTTTTCAATAAAGTTTTGTTTCAAACAAACAAAGAGGGTTTGTGCCTAAACTGATCCAGGAGTTGTAGAGGGGAATTTATTACAACTGGAGCAGCCAGACTCCAGAGCAGATGTGCATTACAATCAATCAGCTTCTGTCTTTCATTTTCAAAGCTTAACTGAAGATAGAAGCTGATTGGTTGCCATACCCAGCTGCTCCAGAATCTGAGTGATCCAGTGGTTGATAAATTCCCCTCATTGTCTCTCCACTAATTGTCTCTGGCTTGCATCCTGGCATTCATCTATTGCAGCTGAGTGCTCTATTATTTAAATCTGTATAGTTGCCAACATCCTTATTTCCTGAATGACCCTGAGCCAAAAACAGAGTGTCAGGGCTCCGGGTACGACCAGAGGTGTGTGGACTGACACAGGGAAATGCAGGCTTCAGGTATAGTGTAAATAAGACAATTTATTAAGACTAAACAACACAAACGCAGTGCAAGGTAAACATAACACAGTGCAAACAACCCAAACTCCAACAGATAACCATATATACAAATCAAATGTAGTCGGGCAGGCCGGGTCGGTAGCAAACGGTACCAGGAGCGAGCGGAAGAGTGGTCAGGAATAGCCGAGGTCAGGACAGGCGGAGTTCGTTCAGAGTCAGGATCAAAGCAGAGTCAGGATCAGGCAGGAAGCAGACAGGATGAAGGTACAGGGGCTCATGGGAAACATACACCAAGGCACTGACCGCAGGTCTGGCCATTCCTTAAATACACCTCCTGCAATCAGCCTCAGGTGATGGCTGATTGCAGGAGTGAGCTTCTGGTTGCTGAGAGCACCCGCTGGCCAGCCCTGGTACTGCAGCCCACACGGCAGATGAGTCCCACCACTAATGGTGAGTCCATTCCTGACACCGAGAGTACACAGCAGCACCACCTTCTCTCTGAGCCATTGCAGGCTGGCACACACATATTAGAGATGGAGGTGGAAATGGAGGTTGACCAGAATTATACAGTCAGTGGGGGCACTCTCACCCAAAAAATATTTGAAAAGCTTGCTGGATCCATCTTTGAAGGAATAAAAAAAAATTAGATTGAAACTGAACTCCAAATACATATAAAAAAGGTTTAATTCAGTTATGGATGCATTAAAAAATACTTCACTATACTTTTTGTACCTGTGTCCTTGTTGATAACAGCCTTGTGTAATAACAGCAGCACACACAGTGAGAGGGGAAGGAAAACCTCTGTAAGAGAGTCAAGTTGTGCCGTAAAATCCTTTAACAAATGGGGAATATTTACAGAACAAAAGCAGGGTGATCACTTCATCAGTGCCTTGCTGCCTTTTCACTATCCAATTACAGGTTGGGGTGGGTCCTGGACCAGGCTACATTTCTCAACTCTAGTCTGTAGAAGGGTCCAGACCGTAACTGTTCAATTTGTCTGAATTACAAGACTGACTGAAGAGAATTACAAATTATTTGGCACATAACTAGGTCCAAATAATGATCCATATATTTGAGTTGTGTACATATCTGTTTGTCTCGAATTCCTCTTTAAGTTTGGCTAGTTTTCTGGCATTGGCATAGTTGTTATTTCTCCTGGGTAGGATGATGCTTATCAGTTGCCATTGGTAGCTGATATTTACACACTCTTTTCTCAGTTCCATAATTTTACTGTTGTATGTTCTAGAACCACCAAGAATCGAGGGGCCTGCCATCTCCACTGAGGTCTCAGTTGCTGTGGATGAATTACTTGAATTGGTGTGCAATGCAGCAGGTATACCTCCCCCTCAGATCACATGGGAGAAGGATGGACAGCCATTATCAAGTCCAAATGTAGTCACAAAGAACGGCACTGTCCTCAGAATAGAGAGGGTGAAGGTATGATTTGCTAATATCTCAAATACTCCATCTCTCCACTTCTCATTGTCATATTGTTTTCCACGTCGTCAGTTAAAAATATACATATAGGTATAGCCACGTTTTTTTCAGGTTTAGACTAGGGAGTGTAAAATAGGAAAGGGTTAAAACCCCCATCAGTGTTTTTCTTTGTGTTTTTCCCATTGGGAGATTTCCTTCATGTCTCATCCTGGGGAGGCAACAGGAAAATCTCTCCTACTCAAGAGGAAATCTCTTCTTAGGCAGCCAACTTCTGAACAGGTGTATGCACTGAAAGATTTACCCCCAAGTGACAACTGTAAAATCATTTTCTGCTTCAGAATCAATGGTAACCAAGATCAGTAGAGCGGGAGACAGAGAGCAAGAAAAACTTGACAGGGATTCTAACATTATATCTACTCAGGGTCATGACTACTTAAAGGCTAAGTTCACCTTTTTTTTTCTGTGTAGCTGTATACCATTAATGTACCTCTGTTGCAGAAAAATAAAAGCTTTCTTTGATTTTTAGAAGGATGCCTTACCTTAGCCCCTGCTGTGTTCATAGAAAACTTCATGACTTCCTGGTATGTAGATTTGGGAAGTTGAAACCATTTAGACACAGGAAGCTGTTCACCAGCTGACCTCATTAGCACACACCCCCAGCACCCATCAACTATGTTTGCAAGGCATCCCTTCAGGTGTTCATTTGCCTGCCTTGTCAGTGAAGGCTGCCACAGCTGCTTTGTTTGCATGGCATCTCTAGCATTTTACTGAGGTACATTAATGGTGTATTGGTACATAGGGGAGCTGGAATTGAGGGGGAAAATGTGAACTTTGCCTTTAATTCCAGAAATAGATTATAGCACTTAAATATTTAACATTACAGTAAAAACTATAACTGCTGCTTCTAAAAGTTTTTAAATTTTATGACAAAAAAACGTGCAAAGCAACAAGTTAATTTACCTCCCCAACTCCCCAAAATCACAAACGCCCCTTCTGTGCCCTGCTGCTCCAATTCAGCCTTGAAGAGAGGTAGCCATGTATAAGCTCCATCACAATTCTGAGCCTACAAAGGGCTAAATACCCTCTCCCCTTCCCCATGTGTCTGCACTGGGTGCCTAAGCATCAGATCACCAGCACTGTCTCACAGGAGGAAGGGGAGTGAGTTGCATGATCCCCATTTATAAGGCTAGAAGTAACTGTATTGTGAATTGTGGAAAAGCTATAGTAACATACAGTATTTGTGGACACCTGCCCAGTACACTTGGTGAAAATCCTATTTGAAAACCATATCTCCTGTGGAAGGCTTTGAGAGAGAGTTACCCCCCGGTCACAGAAAAGCCAATTTTCACATACAGTGAAGTCGCACAATTTCAAAATTTGGTGACCTGCCGATTTCATTGCGATTTGCAAGACATCTGTCACAGATGTCTATGCAAATCGCAACAAAAGTAGTGCATGTACTACTTTAGAAATCGGTGCGGATCCAACCAATAGTAACATACAGTATTTGTGGACACCTGCCCAGTACACTTGGTGAAAATCCTATTTGAAAACCATATATATACTATAAATGCACTAGTATGACTGCTCTGATAGGGTGCGACTTGGCATACGATTTGCAAGTCACCTGGCATGCAAATCGCATTCCATGTCGCACCCGATGTGACCGGGGACTTACTAAAACTGGTGCACAGTGCGCACAACCTGGAAGCTGATTGGTTACTATTCACAGCTGTACCAGATTCTATGTGCGTCAGTTTTAGCAAATTTCCCCTGTGTGTGGATTGACGGATTTGTCAGTTTTCAGCCTCCTGGCTGAATGAAAAAACTGTCTATGGCCAGCTTTATTTATCAAGACTACAAAGAACAATGATGATATGCTGATTACAGCAACCATTGGGCTTCAATCGCGATAAGAGAGATGGTGTACATTGTAATCTGTAGCTAGGGGTTACTGCTTGTTTCTCTTGTTCTTATTCTCTTTCCCTTAAAAAATAAGCATTACTTACTGTATTACACTCTGTATGCTGAGAAGTTGTACTGTTTCCTCTGTTACAGGCTGAAGATGCTGGAATCTACGTGTGTGTGGCCAATAGCCCGGCGGGTAGAGATTCCAGGGCCACCTGGGTGCGATTGAAAGGTACAGAGTGGAATAGAATAGCGGACGGCATTGATGAAGGCTGTTATATGAATACTTAACTCATCAAATGCTTACTTGGAATGCAGCTGTCACTACCTTAAATAAGAATGAAAAAATATACTCAAGCAGACAAACATTGGTATGTGGATAAACATCAGACAGTAGTGTCAATTTAACATTTTTCTTTGTATTTTCCAGTTCCTCCCAGTATAATTGGATCTAGTGAACCACGCTCAGTATCTGTGTCCATTGGAGGACAGATGGTTCTGGAATGTAGAGTGGAAGGAGATCCAGCTCCAACTATTCAGTGGTTCAGAGGAGAAACACACCTTCAGGTACTTATAATATCCTTCAGGCCCAGATTTGAATTTGTAAGCCAGCAAAAGTAAAATTATCAACACAATAAATCATTAAATTATGCTTGTTCAAACTCAACCCAGTTGTGCCCAAAACTTTTTAAGGTTGGATAAAGCAAGGAAAGGGTTAGAACCCCTTTCAGATATTTCTTTTGAATCACTTCCTGTGTGGTGGACCAGACAAGAAGTAAAAAAGAATCTCTAAAAATGGAACCTAAATAGTGTGGAGGGGTTATAACTTTTGTCATTTTTATGTTGCTTTCTGCCTCTTTGGTAAAACCCGTTTGCTTTGTGGCCCAGTGACTACGTGGGAAGTGAGGAATGCGAAACCTGCACAATTGCAACACACACTGCAATAACAACCTGAGAGGGGTTTTATCCTTCCCCTGCTCTGTCCAAAAGTAAGCTCTAAGTAGGTTCTAATGTACCTTGCTTTGTCTTCTGTATAATATTAATGTAGCGCCCTCCTAGTTAGTTTCAATAATAATGGTAAACAGGACAAATAGAGAGGGTGAATCTCCATAAAGAAAGTACAGACAACAATTAAAACCTTTAATGGGTTCTAATCCCTCTCCACTCCAACCAAACTAGAAAAAAAAAAGTTTCGCCTTTTAGTTATAATTTAATTTTTCATTCTCTGACAACATCTAGATATTTGTGAATAAATCCACTAAAATAATTGTATGGTACAAGAGATACAGAGGCTATAGAGAAGAGTCAGGTGACTCTTTGGAACTCATACAACATGCACCATCCTTCCAGTTGCTTCTTTGTCAATCTGTACATCTGCCTAGTAGGTCTACAAATAAAGCATACACTGCTCCAACATTGCATTTAGTTTTTGAAAAATGGTCATGACAGAAGGGCCAGAGCCTGTTCAAAAGGTCTTATTTTTGTCATTCATGATTTCTAAATACAACCCTGGCTAAAACATCTGCAGATGTCCACATCTGAGTCATAATTGGAATGAAAGAAAGAAACAGCTGGGAGCTCAACTGAATGAGCCATCCCATATGACTTTTCTCAACTGAGTGACGCATCCCATTGGCTCATTCCAACTGCATGTCATGTGACTCATCCAATTGAGTAATGCATGCCATATCACCTACCCCAATTGAGTGACCTATGCCATGTAATCAATGCCAACTCAGTGAGGCATCCCGTGTGAACTATCAATTGAGTAACCAATGTGTTTCCATCTTATGGACATTAAGCTTGAATAGAAAGTCTTGGAAATCCCAGTCGGTTGTAAAACAATGGTCAGTTTATTGGTGTGTGTCATAAAACAGAGCCAACCTGTTTTGGGTAATTGGGGCTTCCGTATTCATTCAGTCTTTGGTAATGCACATAGGCACTGCAGTCTGTGTCTCCATATAATAATGTTACTCTGGAGTGTCTGTTGCACCTGCAGTGGAAAATGGAGGCAAAAATGTTTGCTACTGTCGGCACAATAGACACTCCAGAATACTGTTATCATAATAAGACACAGCCTGCAGTTTCCTATCAGAGAGCCCCAATCTCCTAATATTTCTTGATTCAAAAATGGCTGGTGTGGATCTTCTAAAGAAGCTAGTCAAACTGTTTACCACTCCTGAAAAGTGTTGGATATGTATAATGTCATACATGAATGATATGATTACTGTTCTCCATGCAGCTTGAGTTTCCAAAACTTTCTACTCGTGTGGCACTCCTTACCAACCTTCACAATCTTGAGCCTCCACAGACCTACCCACCACAACAAGGTCTAGTCTCTAAAGCTACCATATATCTGTAATGATGAACCGTAAAACGATAAAATGTATTTATAAATAGGATAATTCTGTGACATAGTTGAACTAGGGAAACCCTTTAGCCTAATGTATAATGTAAATAAAACACAAACTTTAATTTTGTTCTTATTTGTTCATTTCTATTTTTTACAGACTGACAGGAGAGTCCAGGTTTTGTCTAAAGGCCGATACATACAGATCCACAGCCTGCAGGCCTCAGATAGTGGGGAATACACCTGTATAGCCACCAATCCAATTGGTCAGACCAGCCTGACATTTATTGTAGAGATTCAAAGTAAGTAAACAAAAATTATTGGTTATCAGTGACTCCCACTGTTTCCTGGTGTCTGGTGTTCACATGATTTCCTGTATTATAGTTGCACCTTCAATCATGCCTGGACCCTCAGTAGTCAGCTCACCTGTTAACCAAACTGCGGTTTTGCCTTGCTGGGCAGAAGGGCTTCCAAAACCAATGACAACATGGAGGAAAGATGGCATGCAACTCTCTGTGGAAATGTCCAGGTATTGTTTTATATGCTAGGGAGTATACAGTTTTCCTTTTTAATTGTAAAGAAGGGGGATTGAGTGGCATTTCAATTCTTCCAGGCTAGAGTTCCTTAAAGATGGATCCCTACGCATCCCACAAGTTCTCCTGCAGGATTCCGGATACTACCTCTGTACAGTCACAAACTCAGCAGGAATGGCTCGGCGTGGCGTGGAGCTAAGGGTTTTTGGTAAGCTATGATATTTATATCTAGTAAAATTGATATGAAGTTCTTTACACTGTAGATGAACCAGTCCAAAACATTTTTGGGTACAAAGAGAAAACAAACAAACCATAACTTAACTGCCCTGTAGGGGAGTGCACAGTTATCAGTGACACCATATTATCACTTCAAGAAATAGTCAGCACACCAAGAATGAACCTCAAAAGTCCAAAAAATGTATTGATGTTCAAATGCATAAAGTGCAAATAACAAGCATATCCATCGACATATCGGGGCCATGTCAGACCCCTTTCTCAAGTTGACAGACAGATGTTATTCACTGAATTAAAAAATGTATTTTCTAATGAGAGGAAATGGACACTTTTTTTAGTTTTTTTTTTTGTACCCATGTTTGAGCATTTTTCAAACATGATGCATTAATCTTGAGCATGCCAAGTACTGTGTTGCCAATATAAACTGGTGGTTCTTTTGTAATTCGATTTATCTTGACAGTTAATGGTGGCTTCTCAGAATGGCAAGAATGGGGTCCATGTACCAGAACATGTGGCCAGGGAGTACAGGAGAGGATACGGTTATGTAGCAATCCCCCTCCCGCAAATGGGGGAAGACCATGCATGGGCAGGGACGTGGATGTGAGAGCATGCAACTTACCACCCTGCCCAGGTAACATTTTTTCACGCTAAAACCGTTTAACTACAGAAAAAGTTGGTATTGTTATTGTTGATTCCTTTTGTAATTTGCTTCCTTAGTGGATGGAGGATGGACAGGCTGGAGCAGTTGGTCACAGTGTTCAGCAACCTGTAGTGAAGGGAGCCGCCAGCGCACTCGTTCCTGCTTCTCTCCTCCTCCCCAGAATGGTGGCAGAGTCTGTGTTGGGAAGGACACAGAGACAGAGCTATGTCAGCTACCCCAGTGCCGAGGTAGGTCCTCCATACTTAGTTTTTTAATCTGAAAAACTTTGTGACTGATGACCACCTTAGGCCATGTGTGGGGTTCCCATGACTGGGCAATTCTGGTCAAGGCCCAATCATCCATCCAATATTTAGCACTCTGGCTTTATCTAAAGGCCATTTTAAACACTGATATATGCCAAAATTGTTTTACTTTTTAGAATGATAAATGGAGGGAGAGGGTGTTACTGGGACAGGAAGATATAAATAGCAATAAATACCTGAGCATGTCTTGGCCATACTTGTATCAGTCTGATCAATTAAATTATTTTTTTCAGTTTACTACAATTTCATTTGCAATTTTATGATGTTTGGAAATTTCTAGTTAACTAATTTTTCTGTTTGAAGCAGTCGATCAATTCTGAAAATGTAGTTTACTTTCTACAAATAAATGTTTGACTCTGAAAGTGATCAGATCGATGCAGGTGAACTTTGTTACATCGAATGATTGCTACAGCCTTCTGACTAATTGGGAATGGATTGAATACTCAAGTGCATGAAAAATTGATGTGTGTGTATAGCCAATATTAGACTAATAAAGATTTAAATCAGACCTTAGAGGATAAATGCACATTTTAGTATTTGTACTTGTAAAGGCTTCATGTTTTGGCATACATTTAATAGTTTGTAAAAATATTTCTTTGTCCAAGCGGTTGCCACTCGAGTACGTGCCAGCCTCATTGGAATTATCAATGATCAGGATTTTGGACTATCTTCGCTCAGTGCCAATATGACAGAGAATAGCCGTTCTGGGGCTACCACAATCACCAGCACTATTGAAAACATCCCTCCTTCTATAGGTATGTGCAGACTTTGTTTCATGTTGTGTGATGGCTTCACCAATGGCTTTATCAGCATAGTGTGCAAATACTACAACTACGTCCTTTGATGTACTTTTCCAGGTCTTATGGTGTTTTTTGCAAATTAATATTATGTATTCCCATATCTATTCAGAGCTAAAACTTTAGGCCCCTTTTAAAGTTTTTCTTGTATCTGCTTAGCTCTTGTTGTGAAAATCCTGATGTTTACAGAGCTCTGTAGCTCAAGTTCTGATATGCACAGCAGAGACCGAGCAGTAACTCCTCCCCCTCAGCTCAAAGTTTCAATAAAAGAAAAGGTGTTTGAAAGAAAACCACTTCTGCTGTACCCTATCTATATAAAACCCATAATGCTCTGGGAATTCTGTCAGGCATGTGCCTTGTAAAAAATGCTTATGTATAAAACAGAGATTTCATATATATTCAGTACCTCATACAAATATGAAAAAAAACGAAAAGAAAAGAAACAAAAGCCAATCAAGTTTCCTAGTTCACCTTAACTGCTTAAGCACAGCCATGGATGAGATTTTAAGTCAGGAGGCAGGATAGATCAGCTGTTTACGCATTGATTGTAGACTGTCATGATCTTTCAGTCTAACTAAGCTGACATACATGTTCGGTAACAGGATTGAAGAAAGGAGTCAGAAAATATTTGCCCATAATAACTAGAATTTTAGGGAATTGGAATGCACAATACCCTTCTGAAGCCAACCTTTACTTGGCACCAATATACATTGACTTGACATCTTTTATATCACTTTTCAACATAAAGCTGAGGATGACACACTAAAAGAATATTCAAATTATCCTTAGCCTTTTTCATAGGCAGGAATTTTGAGTCCATAAACATTTCAAATAGACTTAATCCAAAAACTTCACGTCACTTGTAACTATTGAGATTCAGTTTAGTGTAAAAGCATTTGTCATTAGAATTCATACTCTTGGAGAATTATATAGCATCCACTGACACTTCATTCTGAACATGAGCTGTTATTGTAATAAATACTTTTCATTACAATGTCAGCTTTAAAATTCTCCCAGTATGTGCAATGCCATAGCAAGAGCTCTTACACTAAAAGGTCACATGGATATTTCAATCCTATTATCATTTTGTAGGGCAGTACAATAAGAGTAGGCAGTACCAAACCATAGAACTTCCAAATTGTGTTTATTTTTTTTAAATAATTTGTTTCACTTGCAACAACTGGATCATTGTGAGTAAAACCACAGAAAGCATACACCACTCCAGCATTTTTTTTTTAAATATGCTCATGACAATAAAAAAATATTCCTATGTCACATCACCCTCATTCATCAACAGAGTGATTAAAATCCTAATTAGTAAATGCAATGTTTAAATTGCTGAAAATCTTATTAATATAATTAGCAGCAGATTGACTTAAAAAAAGATAATATAGAAGAAGCTATACCAGACATTTTCAACCACAGTTCCTTCTGGGTTCTTCAGGGGTGCCTTGGCAAAATGCCTAAAAATTGGCACAAATGCCCATAAATTGGGCTTCCACTATATTTATTTACATTTATTTCTTTATTTTCTGTGGATATCCTTTATTTAATACTTATTATTAGCGTGTTAGCGCAGCACCTTTTTCTTCTTTTTATTCTTAGAGTGGTGGAACACCTTACGGGTGCTTGCTGCTTGCTTGCGATTTTATCATTTTATTATTATTTCTGTTATTTCTGTTCTTATTTGTAGTGTAGGTTTATATTTTTATTTTGTTTGTGTGGCAGCGCATAAGACCTTTACCATTGATGCCCATAAATTGTCGGCAAGTTAGCAAGTGGATCAGTCCTGCCGTTTTTTTGTTATACAAAGCCACAGGTTTACATTGTGCAACATTACAACCTCAGACACCATGCAGACCAACTATTGGCATCTTAACAACCAATTAGGTCGTATCGGTTGATAAGTAGGACATCAAGCACTAGCAGAGAACCTTGCTTGCTCCTCCCCTGCCTCTGTGTCAGCACTGGGGTCACTTTAGCAGAGAGTGGGAGATAGAAACTGAGGGAGAAGAGAAACACTAGAATACTAGTCGGTACTAGTGTGCAAAGGTGGAGGAATTAATCACCTCTACTGTTGGGTGGCCCAAGTGTATGGATGCTGTTCCTGAACCGCAGCAGAAAAAAAATCAGATCTGCTGCCCCACTTTTCAGATTTGTGCTACAGTGTATATCTCAGGACTGGATGGACAGAAATAAAAATCCTTTGACAGGTAGAAATCTTCTCCCTTCTGTATTTCATATGTGTATATGGCTAAAAATACCAATTATGGGAAATAACATTCATTAACGCTTAGTAAATTGAGCCAATCGCGTGTCTTGCTTTCCCTGACAGGTCCATTGATGAGAGTACTGCTGTCTATGATTGCCCCCCTTTACTGGTCTGGAGCATTCCCCCACGATGGTACTACCAATGGTTTCTCCCTGACTAAGGGTGTCTTTCGCAAAGAGTCTCAGGTGGAGTTTGCAACAGGTGAGCAAAGATTGTCAAGTACCAAAGAGCAGCAACTAGTACTAACCAATCAAAGTGATTCTTTCTCTGATCTGATTTACCAAGATCTGAGTGGCTGCTTTACTTTGCACAAGCTGGAGAGATAAAGGCATCACAAATAATGTTTGCACTTAAAAATGGACACCAAGCATGAACACGCTAACCGTACTTAGCGTAGTTACTTGGACCTACAGACAGTCAATATTTCCCTCATTTTCCAAAATCTGCTTGTGTTTCAGGTCAGCAGCTACGTATCACACATATCGCTCGAGGCCTGGATGCTGATGGCACACTCTGGTTTGACATTGTGATTAATGGATTTGTACCAGACACTCTGGCTTCTTCTGATGTCATTGTCCAGGTATGAGTTCTATCCCCATCCAACAGATAAAAACACACCAACCACATAGCTCACTGTTCTAGAGAAAGAAAGAGATGGTGCTGAGGCAGGAGAGGAGGCAAGGCTAGTGTTATTATTGCATACTGCATCATTAAAGCTGAAATCCAGCCTTACCTTCAATCTTGCACTTTTGTACAGGCCCCTCTTCTGTACTGAGATTGGTTTCTGATTTTACTGAACACTGTGAGCCTATCATAGTGTGCATTAGAAGCTGCAGCAAGTCAAATAGAGCCTGCCTCACTTCCAAGATGGAGAATGCCCAGGGGCATCTAGTCCTTTCCTTCAAAATCTGACTTGTTACCTTCCCCTTCCATTCACCGCATTTCTGGTCTTTTAGTCATGGAGGCTCAGCTTCATGTGTGGGGGATATTTAGAGTGGTCTGTATGCAAATGCAATTTGTCTATGAATGCCCACTCTTCTAGACTCATATCCACTCATCAAGGCATTTTGGCATGAATGCCCAGTCCTCTAGACTGATATCCACTCATCAAGGCATTTTGGCATTTGTATAACTGTTCCCAAGACTCAGCCCACTGCTTGCATTAGTATAGAGACCCGGTGATGACATCACTTGGTCTAAAATAAGGTATTTAACTAAAACAAAAAGGTTTTATTAAAAAATGTAATTAGAATATTGCCGAAGCAGTTGACCTTGAGGTGACTCTCCAAGACCTTGCTACTAGACTCCTGAAATTCTCTGTTGGTATGGAGGTGGCAGATGGCTTAGAAGTGTTACTCGTCAGTAAATTCAATAAACTTTTTCCAACCTATGTTCTTTTACAAGAAGTGTGGAACAAAGTTAGAATGTTACAGCAGATTAAGGGATTTATTAGATTTAGTCCTATCTGGGATAATGCCCAATATCAGGAATTGGCGCTTCTACAATATAGCACAAAATGGAAACAATATGGTATTACCCACCTGCGCCATATTTTTCATAATGGATGGTTACACCTCTTCTCAGACCTTCAATTGCAGTTCCATCTCCCTTTCCATATGCAGTTTTATTATTTGCAATTCCAAACACGGTGAAGGACCAAACAGGTGCAGACATTTGAGTACAATCCCCCACTCCTATATTTAAATTATATGCTTGATGTGCATATATATATATATATATATATATATATATATATATATATATATATATTTACATCATCCACACCTATGCTGTTGAATATCTTTCTTCAGGATTACCCATTTAAAGTGGTCTCCCAATTGGAAAAAGATGTTGGGACCCTGGAAGAGTAGTGGGAAGAAGCTCTTCTGGCGGTTCAGCGGTGCTTCTTAAGTGTGGCTCAATGCCTCTCCCAATTATACTTACTTTTGAAGGTCCATTTTACTCCAGCAAGGCTATTCCGCATGGCTATATAAGATGATCCTACCTGCACTTGTTGCAGTAGGGGTCACAGTGACCTAATTCACCTGTTTATGGAGATATCCAAAATTACATCTTTAATGGAAGGAGGTTATAGCCACTATTAATAGGGTTTTTTAGGTCCAGGTCTCGGAGGACCCCAAACAGTGTCTTTTAGGCATCCCTGGTGATCTTCTTGTTGAGGATATACCTAAACAGGCCATAGCAAGAGCACTTTTACAAGCCCATACATTGATCTTGAGACACTGGATATCTGCTGACCCTTCTATGCTGAAAAAATAAAGCTCCCAAATGGGGGATATTATTAGGCTTGAAAAATACTGCTAACTATATGATGTCTAAAGCAAGCTATGCATTCTTGATGTGCTCTGGATTCTGTAATATTTCAGTTTCTCTGTTCAATAAAACCTTTTTATTGAGAACAAAAAAAGAAAATTGCTGAAGGTTAAAAAAAAACGAGGGGGAACCAGGGAATGCAAAATACAAGCAAATAGTCTTATCTATAAGTCATATATGGTACATGTGTCCTCATTATAATGATTCATGTATATTATATTCATTGAACAGTTATGAAATAGTTCTTAACTGTGCTATGTGTAACATCTTGTGAGCCGTCTTTATATTGGACTTCCATCCAGGGGCGGACTGACAACTCATGAGGCCCCCTGGCAATAGGGGATCATGGGGCCCCTGTGTCCTTGCCCAAACTCAAAAAAGCCTATGAAAAAGGTACCAGGGGCATTTCATGGGGCCCCCTACTGACCCTGGGCCCTCGGGCAGTGCCCGAGTTTCCAATTGGTCAGTCCGCCCCTGCTTCTATCATTCTATCATACTATGCATATAAACTGTAATTTCAAGACTTTATGTGGGACAGTTTGTATTGGTTACTATGAGATTAGATTTACCATTAGACATTGCAGGCCTGTGCCTATATTTTGTTACCATTATAGGTATAATCAATTGTTCCAAAAAATTCCTGTTGAAAATCTATTTCTTGAAGAAAAAATTTCCAACCTGCCTTCTCATCACTATGTTTGAAAATGAACGTCCAATTGACGATTAGAAAATCAAATGAAAAATTAAAATAAAGATTTTCAAACAAACTTTTACTAGTGTATGGCCAGCTTAGGTTAGAAGGCACATAGGAGGGGTAATTTATAGAAATTCCTGTCTGAAACTATGGCAGTGTTTGTTGTAAGCACTGCGACCATATGTTGGAAAGAGTTTCAGCAGCCTTCAGAGTTCAGACATCATTCATGGGGCGTTTACAAACCGCAGGTTTCAGAAATGAACGCATGGACCACTCATCAGATAGATCAAGTAGAGAATTTACTTCCCAGAAAAATATGAAGTAGACTTCATGATCATATTATTCCTTTTTTTCCTTGAAATTGTAATCTGAACACAGCACATTTATACGATGAATGCTCTGTGCTTATATTCCCATGTGTAGAAAAGTCCACAAGATGGCTACACCTTTGCCTCTCTAATCTCTTCCATGTGCCTTTTTCATGTTCAGGAGTTCAGTGAGACCTATGTACAGACTGGAGGCGGACAGATAAATGCTTGGTCTTCACCAACTTTCACCAATGGTGCCAATTACCTAACACTGCGCTGTAACCACACTGTGGAGTACAACTCATCGCTGGGACGACAACCCAAACCTACCCAACGAGTGCACATTAGTGCCATTCGATCTTCGTACGTTCCTGAATCAGAGGAGCTTCACTTCCAGCTGACGGCCTCCCTCCAAGCAGGTATCACAGCAGAGATCTTTTTTACTATGAGCTGCCTAATTATAAATGGTGGCTTTTTGTTTGTAAATCATGAAAATGTTCCACTTTTACCAGCAGGACAAGCTCCACATAGAAGGTAAGACTTACTGGATTGAAGTTGAAGTACAGTTAAGCCGGCCACAGACGGTTTGAATCTCAGCCGGTTCAGCGAGGGACAGGCTGAGATTCAATATTTGTATTGGGCAGGCTGAATGTACCCAAACTGGCTTATCGATCAACTTGAGTACAACCAGTCGGGTTTTACATGCGACTATCGCTAGCCGCTAGCAGTAATCACTCTACTCCCCCGACTGGGGCAGCTCCCCCTCTCTACCGGAAGAGCGCTTTGTGAGAGGGATTCCCCAATCAACAATAACTGTGTTGATGGGTGGGGGGGAATCGAGTGATTTTTTCTATCCTACAACCTTGGCTTTACAGTTTGTAGAACTTCCCTCAAAGAGTACTGTGGTTTGCTGCACAATACAAAATTGCCCAACATTTAGTCCTGATTGTCAGCAAAAGAGACCTCAGAGTGCACCCAAAATTCAGTGTTTGCATAAACTTCTGCCCTTTCCAAAAAGCCCAGCAGTGGCAGTTCACTTTCTGGTTATCGCTGACTGAAATATGATGTACGTTCATTTAGAAAACATTCTGGTAGTTTGTGATAGTTATATCACCTTTAGATCTGAGCATGGAACTTTTCAGTGCCCAGAAAGAAGGAATTTTTATATTGCATATACAGTGGGGATCGAAAGTTTGGGCACCCCAGCTAAAAATTTGTATTAATGTGCATAAAGAAGCCAAGGAAAGATGGAAAAATCTCCAAAATGCATCAAATTACAGATTAGACATTCTTATAATATGTCAACAAAAGTTAGATTTTATTTCCATCATTTACACTTTCAAAATAACAGAAAACAAAAAAATGGCGTCTGCAAAAGTTTGGGCACCCTGCAGAATTTATAGCATGCACTGCCCCCTTTGCAAAGCTGAGACCTGCCAGTGTCATGGATTGTTCTCAATCATCATCTGGGAAGACCAGGTGATGTCAATCTCAAAGGTTTTAAATGCCCAGACTCATCTGACCTTGCCCCAACAATCAGCACCATGGGTTCTTCTAAGCAGTTGTCTAGAAAACTGAAACTGAAAATAGTTGACGCTCACAAAGCTGGAGAAGGCTATAAGAAGATAGCAAAGCGTTTTCAGATGTCAATATCCTCTGTTCGGAATGTAATTAAGAAATGGCAGTCATCAGGAACAGTGGAAGTTAAAGCAAGATCTGGAAGACCAAGAAAATATCAGACAGAACAGCTCGCAGGATTGTGAGAAAAACAATTCAAAACCCACGTTTGACTGCACGATCCCTCCAGAAAGATCTGGCAGACACTGGAGTTGTGGTACACTATTCCACTATAAAGAGATACTTGTACAAATATGGTCTTCATGGAAGAGTCATCAGAAGAAAACCTCTTCTACGTCCTCACCACAAAAATCATCGTTTGAACGTTGCAAATGAACATATAGACAAGCCTGATGCATTTTGGAAACAAGTTCTGTGGACCGATGAGGTTAAAATTTAACTTTTTGGCCGGAATGAGCAAAGGTACGTTTGGAGAAGAAGGGGCACAGAATTTAATGAAAAGAACCTCTGTCCAACTGTTAAGCATGGGGTTGGATCAATCATGCTTTGGGGTTGTGTTGCAGCCAGTGGCACAGGGAATATCTCACAAGTAGAAGGAAAAATGGATTCAATAAAATTGCAGCAAATTTTGGATGGTAACTTGATGCCATCTGTGAAAAAGCTGAAGTTAAAGAGAGGATGGCTTCTACAAATGGATAATGATCCTAAACACACCTCGAAATCCACGGGGGATTACATCAAGAGGCGTAAACTGAAGGTTTTGCCAATGCCTTCACAATCTCCTGACCTCAACATAATTGAAAATCTATGGATAGACCTTAAAAGAGCAGTGCGTGACAGACAGCCCAGAGATCTCAAAGAACTGGAAGACTTTTGTAAGGAAGAATGGGCAAAGATACCTCAAACAAGAATTGAAAGACTCTTGGCTGGCTACAAAAAGCGTTTACAAGCTGTGATACTTGCCAAAGGGGGCAGTACAAGATATTAACTCTGCAGGGTGCCCAAACTTTTGCAGATGCCATTTTTTTGTTTTCTGTTATTTTGAAAGTGTAAATGATGGAAATAAAATCTAACTTTTGTTGACATATTATAAGAATGTCCAATCTGTAATTTGATGCCTTTTGGAGATTTTTCCATCTTTCCTTGGCTTCTTTATGCACATTAATACAAATGTTTAGCTGGGGTGCCCAAACTTTCGATCCCCACTGTATGTGTATGTGAATAGAATTTATTGGTGTCTCTGTTCCCTCTGGGAAGACCACCACCCCCCCCCCCCCTAGTTGTACTGGTAACTGTTGTCACCAGAGCAGAAAGTGATAGGAAATCAGAACAGTTGTCACCGGAACAGGAATCTTCCAATGGGAACACTTGTTCTTGTGACAATTGTCTAAAAGGGGATTTTCCTTACGTTTGAAAGATTTACTGTCTTCCTATTGTAGTCTATAGTGATTTAGGCCGTAGAATACATGTATGTTCTAGGCACTGTGTTCTGTTCTGAGCTAGTCCTATAAATTGGATACTCGAGGCAAAACATACAACTCAATAGGCCTGCAAACCTTTGCTTTTTGGATGTCCTGTCTACTAGAAGTTTGTTTATTCCACAATGTTTCAGGCCTCTAACACAGGGCTTGACAATTTTGCTTTGAATCTAGGAGCCAGCTAAAAAGTTAGGAGCTAGTTTTTTTTTTTTAGTGTATTGTTGGTTGCCAGCACTCGGGGCAAGGCCACTTTTGGCGATTCGATTTGCTGTTCAACAATCATGACAAAACCGCACCACGTTTTAGGTGCCATTGAAAATAATGGCACCTGAACCTGTGTTTTGTGATTGCAGCGATTCTGCCGTGATCCCAAAATGCCCAGATGTGAATGAAGCCGCCCTGGTTCACACATATGCGATTCTGGATGCTTTTCAAACTCACAGATTCACATGACAAGCTAGATATTATGTGTTCCAATCAAGGTGGTCCACAGATTCGAGCCACACACATTGCATTTTGGGTGCCATTGCGAAAAGGGTCATGTGCGAGTTTTGTAGCAGTGCGTTCCAGACTAGCAAGTGATAGAGTTCAGTGGCATGCGGTCACCTAGGATTGCTTTTGAAAGGAGTTTTTGCACTGAAGTCAATAGGAGGCATTTTTGCACTGAAGTCAGTGGGAGGCGTTTTTGCACTGAAGTCAATGGGAGAAGTCAATGGGAGGCGTTTTTGCACTGGAGTCAATGGGAGGCGTTTTTGCACTGAAGTCAGTGGGAGGCATTTTTGCACTGAAGTCAGTGGGAGGCATTTTTGCACTGAAGTCAGTGGGAGGCGGTTTTGCACTGAATAGGGACGGCACAGTGGCTAAATGGTTAGCACTTCCGTCGCACTAGGGTTGTCGCTTTGAATACCAAATCCCTGAAGTTTGCATGTTCTCCCTGTGCCTGCTTGGGTTTCCTCCGGGTACTCTGATATCCTCCTACACTCCAAAGACATGCTGGTAGGTTAATTGGCTCATGTCTAAAATTGTCCCCAGTATGTGTATGTATGAATGTGATTTAGGGACCTTAGATTGTAAACTCCTTAAGGGTTAAGGACTGATGTGTATGTACAATATATATATATATGTAAAGAACTGCGTAAATTGATGACGCTATTTAAGTACCTGCAATAAATAAATAAAAATCAGTGGGAGCCGATTTTTGCATTGAAGTTAGTGGGAGGCAATTTTGCCATTGAAGTCAGTGGGAGGCGATTTTGCATTGAAGTCAATAGGATGCCATTTTGCATTAAAGTCAGTGAGAGGCAGTGTGTGAACCCAGGTACTAGGATGTAATTTCTATTCACCGTGGTGGTGACCTGGCGCCTGGGATTTGTTGAGCCCTGCTCTAATAGGGAACAAAACCTGCATTAGGTAACACATTACCCATTACAGGCAATGCAATCCCTTCAGCAACAAACACTATATTCCTTAGACCAGACTTTCTCAACCTTTTCAACATGGATGAACCCTTAAAATAACTTTTCGGTCTCAGGGGACCTCTACTAAAAGTTTATTATATCTACTCATGATACATTAATGTGATGGTCAGTGGGAAGAATACTCCTTACACTTGGGAATAATTACCCCCTTACAGATAACTAAAAGATGAATGGTGTCAGTGGAACTTATTTGTGAGGCAGAAATTATTCATCACCCAAGGAACCCCTAGCAACCTCAGGAGGAACCCTGGTTGGGAAACCCTGCTCTAGACGTTTGTAAGATCTGCATGAAAAGTAATTCTCTAACATTGAGTGTGGGTACAGTTACAGATTACAATCAGGAAAAAAGACATGTGCACCTAACTTGAAATGATCCTCATTTTTTGTTCATTCAGTTAAACATTTAAGTGTTTTCTGTCACCAGGCTTGAATGGAGGAGCATGTCCTCTGGGCTTCATACAGTCTGCAGACTCGTACTGTACAGGTGAGTGTATAAGAGCCAGTAATGTGTCTACATCAGCATTTCTGGAGACTCCTTGTGTAGTTAACACAGAATGTATGAATAAAGTTGGCACATCGTGAACCCCGATGCATGTGTGTATCTATCCTAGATGTGGATGAGTGCGAGATTCGCAGGCCATGTTCCCACACTTGTCATAACGTCCTGGGCAGTTATTCCTGTTCCTGCCCATCGGGGTATACCTTGGCAATGGATAACCGCAACTGCAAAGGTAGGCACTATGATCAATATTGTATCTAATCTAGAAAACATCTACACTGTTTGGAGGTTTAGAAAAACAAAATACTTTGAAGCTGGACTCCAGGCACAAATAAGAAGCTAATTTCTTCATTTGTTTTTTAACTATAGCTAACATGGCTGTGTTTGTCTCAATATCGATCTCCTGTAACCCCCCACACAGCAGATCTCAGGCTGGTAAAAAGAAGGCCAGCACTAGTGACTGCAGGAGAATTCAGCAGAGTGATGACATATCAGGGTGCTGCTGCTGCTCCTTTGTTGTCCAGTGAGAATTCTAGGGGTGTGTTCTTGACCCAGTAATGCTGCTGTTATAGTTGAGATCAAGCAACTGGCTGTGCTATCTGGTGCACAACACTTGCCGAACAGAATTACAAATCCTATGGCAGATAAAATAGGTTAAATATATGCATTCCTACTTTGTATTTAGTGTTCCTGGGATTCAGCTATAAGTGTGGTGATAATGCTTTCATAGGAAAATGAAGACTCACATTCATTCCCTTCTTTCCAACATTTTACTACAGACCTAGATGAATGTAAAATGGGCACCCATCAATGTCCATCAGGACAAGAATGTATCAACATGCCCGGAACATACCGATGCCATCTGCGCTGCGGACCTGGGTTCCGACCCAATGCCGAGGGAACAGCCTGCGAAGGTAATAAAAAGATGTCTGTCTCTATTAGGATTATGCTGTTCTCTGATTTCCTACTGATGACATTGGTGGCTGCAGGGATAGCTGGCTGAGCAATTGAATTCACTCTTACTTTTGTCTAGCTTTGTCTCCATTTGGGGATTTTAATACAGTGGAGAAATGAAATTCCCTTAAGCAATCAGGTCTTTCACAGGGCCTCCTTCCATTCCAGATTCCTGAAGCAGCTTGGATCAGGCTCACCTGGTTGACCATATTAGATCAAAGATGTCACAAGCACCCAAGCCCCTTTGTTGTACATAGTTGCAGGGTAGGGAATCCTCCTGTCCTCAAGCAGCCCATTAGCCAAAGAATGACCCGAACCTAGTTCGGACAAACACAGAATCATCCCTAAAATAGATCAGTGGAGACCACCAACCACCTAACCCTCTGCATTGGTCTTTTAATTCGAGTCGATAGGTGGAGGTGAGTGAAGCAGGGCCAAGCTTGACGACATACAAGAAAAGTTCACATTTGTCTATAATTTCCCCTGCCTATAACTTCACCTGCCTATAACTTCACCTGCCTATAACTTCACCTGCCTATAACTTCACCTGCCTATAACTTATACCACCTGCCTATAACTTCACCTGCCTATATCTCACCTGCCTATAACTTCACCTGCCTATAACTTCACCTGCCTATAACTTCACCTGCCTACGTCACCTGCCTATATCGTCACCTGCCCATAACGTCATCTGCCTATATCTTCACCTGCCTATAACTTCACCTGCCTATAACGTCACCTGCCTATAACTTCACCTGCCTATAACTTCACCTGCCTATATCTTCACCTGCCTATAACTTCACCTGCCTATAACTTCACCTGCCTATAACTTCACCTGCCCATAACGTATGCTTATCACCTGCCTAACGTCAATATCTTCACCTGCCTATAACTTCACCTGCCTATAACTTCACCTGCCCATAACGTCACCTGCCTATAACGTCACCTGCCTATAACGTCACCTGCCTATAATCACCTGCCTATAACTTCACCTGCCTATATCTTTCACCTGCCTATAAACTTCACCTGCCTATAACTTCACCTGCCTATATCTTCACCTGCCTATAACTTCACCTGCCTATAACTTCACCTGCCTATAACTTCACCTGCCCATAACGTCACCTGCCTATATCGTCACCTGCCCATAACGTCATCTGCCTATATCTTCACCCTATGCCAATATCGTCACCTGCCCATAACGTCACCTGCCCATATCGTCACCTGCCCATAACTCACCTGCCCATATCGTCACCTGCCCATATAACGTCACCTGCCTATAACGTCACCTGCCTATAACTTCACCTGCCTATAACTTCACCTGCCTATAACGTCACCTGCCCATAACGTCATCTGCCTATATCTTCACCTGCCAATATCATCTCACCACCTGCCAATATCGTCACCTGCCCATAACGTCACCTGCCCATATCGTCACCTGCCCATAACGTCACCTGCCCATATCGTCACCTGCCCATCACCTGCCTATATCGTCACCTGCCTACATCGTCACCTGCCTACATCGTCACCTGCCTATAACGTCACCTGCCTATATCGTCACCTATTTCTCCCTCTGTGTGCTTAGTAGGACTCTGTATATATTTGTCATTGCTGTGCTGTCTCTTGGAACACCTTTCATGCTGTGAAGATCCCGTTTCATGCATGTACTTTGTACATATGCATACTGATGATGTGGTAATCCACACAATAATTCACTTTGATATTCTTGTCTCCTAGATGTCGATGAATGTGCCCAGTCTTCTCCATGCCAGCAGAGGTGTCTCAATACCATCGGCTCTTATAGATGTGCATGTGATCCAGGTTTTGAGCTTAAAGGCACACGTTGTATCGGTTTGTGATCTTCCATACATGCACTGTGTTTATTTTGTAGGCTACTGATATTGCCCTATTACGTCAACCGCATTTTCTCTACCTTACTGGTGTCACAACACTATTCTTTTTTACTTAGAAAATTTCTTATCAGTAAAATACTTTTTCCAGGTAAAATGTTGAGTCTGCAAGAATTTTAGCAAATTGTATTGCTGCTCTTTAGCTACTTCTATTCTGTAGATGCTGTAATGGTTCAAATCTTTCAAAATGAGCGCTAAGATGGTTCCAGTCTGCCTTTTCATTAGTCACATTATTAAGCACTACAGTGTAATAACCAATGTTGACCACCAGCATTCTTCCAAATGCATGCCACTTTTGCAAGCATATTGCCAAAGGTAAAACATTTAGTGCAGTAACCTAATGCTGGCCATAGATTCCTTTTTTTTTGTTCTGCCAGCAGGCTGAACAAAATAAAAAACACTGATTAATTCATCCATACAAACAAGGTGGATGGAGGAATATCCAGCAAGATGTTGCATTCTGATAACTGCACCGACCGCTGTCACAATACACCAATCTGCAGCTGTGACCACTGATCGAGGAAACATTTTCCACTGTGTACCTATTGACAGAAATAAACCAATTGATCAAATCCTGTTAAATAGGGACTGCCATACACGGATCAAAGTTCTGCAGGTTTCTACTGATCCACACAAAGTTTGAGCTTAAAGTGTTACTTAACCCAAGACCCTACATTCACTATCTCCAATCTCCCACAGTACACAGAACATGGAAGTGCAATTATTTTAGTAAATATAAACTGCTAAATACCTTTTCTCATCAGCAGTTAGAGCAGTCTTGTGACTTCAGCAGAGCACTGGTTAAAACTTGTATGAGGAGTTTTCTTTTTGCTCTAAGAGAATACAGAACCCCTGATTGGCCCTGTGCTGATCACATACACTCTCCCAAGAAAAAAAAAAAACTCTCTAGCAATCCACACTATACTAAGCATGTGCAGAAGGGCTACGGGTTCAGTCTGTCTTATCAGGTGGTCATTTGAACAAGAGGAGGGGCAGGGAAGTCAGGATCAAACAGCTTTTTTACATAATGTAGAGGATTAACCCTTTAGGCTCCACAGTGAGTAAAACAAGCATGCTTTACTACATATACAGACTGATTTTACTGTTGTGGGTTTAGTAACACTTTAAGGGAGGTGCAAGGGATGCCATTTTCCACCAAGCTCTATGTAGCTCTCAAAGGCATTCAAATGATTACAGGTGCAGGGGTGATGGGATTCCAGGAATTCATGACTACAACCTGAATATTTCTAAACTGGTTGAGATTTGAAATGTACTTGTATAAACCATTGTACAAATCATTGTAGGATTCAGAGGGAAGTGTAAAGGTTTCTTTCAAATCATACAATAAACCTACTTCCAAGATCTATTGCTATAGCAAACATTTAATGTCGCAGAGTATCTGCAGTAAAAAATCCTTAAAGTGTCCCTGTCCTATTTATGTATTTATTTCAGGTATTTATATAGCGCTGTCATGTTACGCAGCACTTGTATAATACATTCACATCAGTCCCTGCCCTCAAGGAGCATACAATCTAAGGTCCATAACTCACATCCATACTAGGGCCAATTTAGACAGGAGCCAATTAACCTACCAGCATGTCTTTGGAGTGTGGAAGGAAACCCATGCAGGCATAGGGAGAACATGCAAACTCCAGGCAGGTGGTGTCATAGTTGGGTTTCAAACTAATGACCCTAGTACTGCCAGGCAGAAGTGCTAACCATTTAGCCTCTGTGCTGTCTTTAACCTATACCCTAACATAAAGCAGACCCTAACACTTAACCCCCTTTCCCAATCTGAATCCTGAACTTGTTCTAGCCTCTAAAACAAACCCTTAGTCCTAACGCTAACCCTAAATCTAACACTAGCATTTAACCCATATAAACCCTAAGAGATTAATTAAATCCCCTAACACCAAGCTCATTTAACCCCTTGCATGTACTTCAGTTTGCTGGTGCTTAAGCTGTCAATGATAAAAGGCCACAGTCCAGTATTGAAAACTCATTATCCTTTCAGGAAAAATTCCAATCTATACAAAACAAATTTGTATGAATTCTAAGATCAGAAACATCTCAGTTGCACAGTGGGGCCAAATTCTTTTATTTGAAGCAATTGTAAACCTAAATGCTGTTTTCACAAATCTAGGTTGAGAATTTCCCCCCAAATCAAATTGGAGAGCAGTGTATAAAAAAAAAGCTTTTGTCCCAGGGCACAGGACTGAACGGATTTGGGCGGTGGGCAGAACCAGTCTGCCCTGCCGTAAATTGCAATAACACTGTCAATCAAACACTCTTACCTGACCCATAAGGAGTTGATCTTTAATGTGATAAATTGACATGATTCATAAGTTAATATATGTGTGTCTGCGAATGTATGTGGATGACTTTGTCTTTACCCACAGATATTAATGAGTGCTTAAGAGGAGTATGCCAGCCCCCACAGCAGTGTAAGAACACCCCTGGAAGTTACCATTGTGTAGACAACTGTCCGGCAGGTACCATTCGCTCAGAGTCTGGAGGCTGTAATGGTGAGTATAGCCATTAAGTATCTATATCCTGCTCCAAACAACAATGCTTTCTGAATAATACTTCTTCATGAAGATCACTGTCATGTTGGGTACCAGCAAAATACCCAAACTGTGGCAAGGCAAAAATGAAGTAATAAAAGGACAACTCTATTTAAAGGTGGGATTGCAGTTTTGGGTTGGTCCTGGCAAGGTGAATCACATACTGGCTACTAATATCTCCTAGGACTCCAGCGGGGTATTGCTTTTATAAGAATTTCATGTTTTGCTTCAGCTATTACAAGGCAAGATAATGTTATGCTTCCTTCATGGATATTCCATAATGAAATATAAATGTTACCAGAAATTAAGCTGTAATATGATTTAAAGTCTATATCAAGCCAAAAACTGTTTTAAGCTATCCTGGGCACTCCGTTGAAGAGATTTATCCTCATTTAGTGTCCTGCTGAAGTGAATATTTAATACCTATCTGACATCCAAAGGAACAAATGCTTAAAGTCCTGACTTTAATGGTATGCTTTTGCTCTGATTTTAACTTTGGTTGCAGGTTCCTTGTATGGGTCAAATTAGCATACATGAATCTAACTTTATTCAGGCTTTTTTAAGATAAATTTAGCCTATGAATCCTATATGGCAAGTGAAATAAACTTAAAATAGGCGATTTCCACCTACAAACAAAATGGTGATAGATTTTCTAATACAATAATGTATATGCAAACTAATGGTCTGTAGATGAAGCAAAGGAATCAGTAGTAACTGGCAGTTCTGCCTCTCATAGACATAATAAATAAGAATTGTGTTTCGTTTTCAGATATTGATGAGTGTCGTGATGGCTCCCACATGTGTCGTTACAACCAACTGTGTGAGAACACTGTGGGTGGGTACCGCTGTACATGTCCGCGGGGGTACAGGACTCAAGGAGTTGGGAGACCATGCTTGGGTAAGCATTAATATTTTTTGTTATTGCAAGATTGGAGGTATCTTTATTTGATTGCATTTGTACAGTCAAACCTAAAGCAAGCCTGTACAAATGCAGGGTAAATGGATTAATTTTAAAGTGGTTGTAAAGGCTGAAGGCTTTTTACCTTCATGCATCCTATGCATGAAGGTAAAAAACCTGTGTTCTGCTACCCCTACAGCCCCCCTAATACTCATCTGAGCCCCCTCTCGATCCAGCGATGTGCACATGAGCCTTGGCTGTCCTAGTTCTCTCTCCTCATTGGCTGAGACACAGCAGCGGGAGCCATTACTTTACTCCCCACAACTCTATTCACTCACTGGAAGTGAGGAAAGGGCCCTGTGTTAGCCTAACTGGAGCTTACACAGGGTTGAGGACTTTCTCTCCACTCCCATGTGACAGTGCTGGGCCAATCACTAAGCACCAGCACTGTCAGAGGATAGGAAGGAAAGTGAGTTGTGTGCTCCTCCATACATGGAAGTACTGGCTCCTGTGCATTCAACATAGTGGTGGGGGAGAGAAGGAAATGTGGCTATATGGCGGGGAGGGGGTAATTAAACAATGGGTTTACTTTCCAGGGATAGGATTGTCCTTTAGAACTAGTGATTATTTACATATATTGCAGTGAAGTAAAACATTTTGGAGTGGAACAAATAGTTTCGGCAAGGCTGTTTGCCCCAGTTTTTGGGGGACACTAAAAGTGAAGTTGTCCTCTAATCAACAGTTTGGACAAATTCAATTAAAAAAGGTCATGAACGGTTCCAGCCTGTTACAAGTATTTTGTTCTCTCTGTTACTTCATAGCAGTTTTTTAGAAAACCTGCATCCCATAACTATTTTTCTTTCCTCCTTATGCAGATATTAATGAGTGCCAGCAGGCATCTAAACCATGTGCCTATCAATGCCAAAATCTGGCTGGCAGCTATAAATGCCTGTGCCCACCTGGGAAGCAACTTTTGGGAGATGGGCGCTCATGTGCAGGACTGGAGAGACTCGGGTATAACTCAACCTTTGGAACCACAAGCGCCCAGTTCCAGCAACCTCTCACTAATGGTCGCATTCATGGAAACAATGTATACACTTGGCTGTCCTTCAGTCAAAATGGCAACATGATTGGTCAAAGCAGTCCTGGCCGTTGTCCTCCAGGCTTCATGCGTAGACACGGGGTGTGCACAGGTAAGAAGGATTATCCATGATCTAATTGCTTCATTTCCAAGACATTTATTGCCTTATATTCTATTTTTTTCTGGTTTGGAAAATATATATAATCATTTTTTTTTTTTTTTAAACAAATTCTTTATTTATATAGAACAGCGGATGTCCATTAATTCTATAGGAACAGTCAGGCATAGGCAATGATGGCCCAATAACAAAAAAAAAGCATGTATTAGCATGACATCAGTAAATAATAAATAACATAGGACACGCTTCTAGAGACACTCGGACCCCTCATAGGACATAACCATTGAAGAAGACCACCTCATTTAAAGTCAATGTGTGACACTGCTGCGCATTTTCTTTGTCTTAAATAAAACCGAGTGGAAATAGTGAAGAAAGAGAGAGCAGAAAAAAAGAGAAACGGAGAAAGAATGGAAAACATTTTTTACAGAGAAGTTTGAGTTGTGACTAGTGCACAGTACGTCTGCAGATATATGAAATTTTTTTTAAAAAAGTCTAGGCCCTCAACAATACTAGCCTTGGATATCTGGAATACAGGGCAGTATCTCCTTAGCAAAAGGCCTGTAAGTGTGTGGGTTACCTCTTATACAGATCCCAAACTGTATGCCGTACAGCAGTATTTCTGAGACATCTTAAATATTGGTCCTCAACTGGATAGAACATCAGCCTGGCAATGATCGTCAAAATGTCCTTCATATCTACTCTGCCCCAGAGGGGGCTGAGCTCATCCATTCAACACTGTATTAAAGAGTTAATTAATCCAAGCTCATTCCATGAGTCCTGAGCTTAAATTCTGTACAATGTAGTCATCAGATAAATGGGTTCTGGGAAACTCCCATAGTTTCTTTTCCATGCTGTCATTTATAACTAGAACCTTCAGTCATTCAGAGAAAAATACTGTCTAGTGACAAGCCTACTTAATATCTTGTTACATATCTTTGCTACTGACTGTATTTCCATAATCATGGTATACTAAACTGATATTGATGGGAGGAACCTGACACCTTTTTCTATTTAATTACATTACAAAAAATGACAGATGTTCTTCAGGCAGCATTCCAACTGGAAAGAGAAGCATTAAAGAAGCAACGGGATGCCATGGCTCCAACGTGGAGCAGTTGTATGTTGAGTCACAACATATAGTAGTTACATAGAACATTTATCCACAGAGCACTGATGTGTGAACCAAACCATTCAGATCTATGCACCCATTCACACCTGTTTGCTGGGTGTCTGAAGTGGTCAGGATGGCCAACAAATGACATCTAACTAACAAAATGTGTATGAACCCCAGAAATATTTTTATATTTATTGCTGTACTACTTGATATACTGAAAGCTAGTGACGGGAGAATCTTCAAATACATATAAAACACAGCTATTAGAATATGAAGACGCAAGTACAACTGTAAAGTTGCAATAAAAATGACCTTCTGGTAGACCTTACATATTGACTCATGGAAAATGATTTACAAAAGGAAACAAATTGTGTGAATATTCACATCAGTTATTCAATCATGTAAAATTAAAATTCCTGTTCGCTTGGAATACCTTTTTTTTCTTTTGAGTCAGGATTCTCAAATCAGCTTAATAGTGTGTACATATTGAAGATATTCTGTACTTCCTCTTTAAGATTATGGGACATTCCTTATGGGAAGCACATTCTTTTCATTTCGTAGATGCTTAGTTAATTGGTGTGGCTCTATGATTTGGTTTTGACCCATTCTTGAATTCTGCTTTCTTTTTCCAGACATAGACGAGTGCCAGCAGCGCAACCCCTGCCAACATGAATGTAGAAACACAGAGGGCAGCTTTCAGTGTCTTTGCCCAGCAGGCTACCGGCTGCTCCCCAACAACAGAAATTGCCAGGGTAAGGCTTGTACTGGTGATGGGGCATTACCTTGGAGTTTAGAGAAATTAATGTGGTGGTGCTCTGCTTTTACGCCGATCTCTGAGGGAGTAAGGTGGTTTAGCTGACCATTTCCAGTATGCACCAGACAACTGTATTTCTTTTATAAGTAAATTTAATGAGTGTTTTCAAACAGTACAAAATAAAAGAAGGGTAGCAGTACAATATCAATCATACTCAAGGAGCAGACCGTGTACAGCATGACATATAATAGGGGTCTCTAAACTATGGCATTCCAGGTGTTGAGGAACTGCAAGTCCCATGAGACCGTGCAAGACTCTGACAGCCACAGGCAAGACTTCCAGAAGCAGAGGCATGATGGGACTTCAACAGCTGGAGAGCCATAGTTTGGAGACCCCTGACATGTAAGATAAGAGGGAAACGGCAAATAAATTGATTCAGATGTCACATCATAGTCCAAGGCAAATGATAGCTTAATAAAAATGGTACAAGCAGCTGAAACAGTCAGGAGAATCTCACTGACTGTAATACATAACAAAGGTGCAACAAGGAGGGGATAAAAATAAATACATGGTCTATAGGAAAGCAAGGACAGAAAAACATTTCTTACTAGCTAACACCTGAGTAAGAAAGAGTGCAATAAATGTAGATAAAACAGAATAGTAATCTGGTTCAAAGCGGTTAATGAAATTTCTATAGGTTATGAGGAGGTGTATTTAATCATCTGGTATCTCAGCTAACCCATACATATATCCCTACATTTCTCTTGCTGATTCTTAACCATATACACCCAAAGTTCTGCTTCCATAATGATATCTACTGTACTTCTGGGGCGAGTAGTCTGCTTCCAAAATCTGGGGATAAGGGATTTTGCTGCATTCAGCATGTGGGGAGTGACGCTCTTTTTATAGACCTTCATAGAAGATGGGATTCCATGAAAAAGAAATTGTAAGGGGGAAGCATCTATCGTCCTGAGAGATGTTTTCTTTATCCAGGGCATGATGGCTTCCCAATAAACTCTGATCTTTGGGCTAACTATGAAGGAATGTGCCACGTTGGGCACATCCCCTCCAGCATTGCTCATTAGCATTAGGGAATATCTGTGCCAAACGGCATGGGGGTTTTGTACCATCTAGTGAGAAATTTGTAGGAGGACTCCTGAATGTGGGAACTAATAGATGAGGTATATGTCAATTTGGTAATCCGTTGAATCTGCGGGGAAGTAAACTCCAGTTCAAGTTCCTTCTTCTATTCCCTATTGTAATACAGAACAGTCCCTGAATGAGTGCCTAAGACAAGCTTGTACATTTGGGATAACAGATGCCTGGAATCAGGAAATTGTTGGCACATAGATTAAAATGGTGTAAGGGCATTTTTAGGACAAGGCTTAGGCTCCAGTTATTATTATTATTATTATGCAGTATTTATAAAGCACCAACAGTTTGCTCAGCACTGTACATTACAATGGGAGACAGAACATGCAACAGTACGATAACAATACAATGTGATACACGAGGGGTTCGAGGGCCCTGCTCTTTCGAGCTTACAATCTAGTTTGGACATAAAGTCGGTCAGTTGGCAGTACCTCAAATGTTTAAGGGGGTAGGTGCCATAAAAGGACTGTAAGTCCCGAAGGGGTAAGAGATTCCCCTGAGGGGCTAGTTTCACACAGGAAGTATCCCCATCTGCTCCCCAGGAGTGAAAAAACCCTCAGTCTTCTCCCGGTTGAAACCAAGGATAGCACCCTAAGGGTGCTAACAGAGACATTGGGAGAGCGTATAGGCCAGTCCTATTTAGTCTATCCCAAACTATGAGGATGATCTGGGTGAAAGGAGAGATCCAGTCAGAATGTCCTTTATATGCATGTGGTATCCAAGGAGCTCCCATCAAGTTCCTACCTGCCATCGATTTTTTTCCAGAGGGACCCACAATTTAGTTGAAGCGACGTGATACCAGTTCAATATGCATACAAGAGTCATGTCCTTATACTAAAGGGTGACATCTGGGAGCCCAACTCCTCCATCCTGTTTGTTGATGTATGACATCATACACTAGCCTAGAGTGCTTATCATGCCAGATAAAAGTCAGAAAGGCTCTATGCAGCCTTTGAAAAGTCTGTGAAAGGGCATTGGGACTGCATATAAAATATATGTTATCCTCAGAAGGATCATTTTAAGGGCATTCACCCTCCTAAACCAAGTCAAAGAACGGACCCTCCACTGCTGCAGATCCTGCAGGACACCAGTCAGTAAGGCACCATACTTAAGGTCAAATGGGAGTTTAGGGTCTGAGGAAATTGACACCATCAAAGGCCTTTTCAGCATCCATCGATAATATTCATGGTGCACGTACAGGACCATGTTGTGCCAAACGCGGGATACAGACAACTGGATGTAATAGGTCTGTCAGCATTAAAGGATAAGTTCACCTTTTTGAACATGTTACACCCATATTTAAGGTGTAATATGTAACATGTTCAGCCTCTTACCCCTCTCCTCCTGCCCCCCCCCCCCCCCCACACACACACACACACACACCTTGTGGCAGTGAGTCAGGGGTCTTCTCCTCGTACCTCCTGCTTCATTACTTAAGAAAGGAGGTACTAACCTTTGGCAGGTGTAGATGGCCGCAAGCAGAATGCTGGGGATGTGGATATAGTCGTCTTTTGAGAATCAAGTGTCCTATTTGATTATTATTATTATACAGGATTTATATAGCACCAACAGTTTGCTCAGCGATTTGATGACACATTAGATGAAGGTCTCATATTAGTTGGTCTTGCCACCTTGGCTGTACTGTTTGGGAGGGCTGTTTACAAATCCTATTGCAGGTAAAACAGTCCCGTTTTATGTATTTCATTCATGGATTTAGATATTTGCCCTTTTTTTTCACAGATATAGATGAATGTGTAGAGCAAAGAATTTCCTGCGGAACCAACCAGATGTGTTTCAACACCAGAGGAGGCTTTCAGTGTCTGGATACGCCGTGTCCTGCCTCTTATGTGAAGGGACCCAGCCCAGGGTAAGAGTCAGCCAAGACTGCTCAGCACAAAATATGACTTTTAGAAAAAGGCGGAATCTGGTTTGTTAAAGTGGTTATAAACCTCAGACATGAAATATGAAGTATATATCCCTCTATAGTGTGTAATTGTCCCAGTTAAGAGCACTAAGTGTCCTCCAGAAGATTGTCAGCCTCAGTTCTGGTTTTGTAAGATGTACGGAGGAGTGGGGGTTGTGTCTTTTCCCTCCAATCAGCTCTTGGAGCTCTCACTGAGCACTGCAGAGCATAACTTCAGCTCTCCACCTCCTTTTCTCTGTACTCTTAGACAAGCTTTATAAATACTGGACTTTGAACAGATGTAGAGAAGACAGCAGATAAACAGGTATAACTTATATAGGAGGAATTGTTTCATCTCTGTTTATCACCTGAGGCCAGTCAATTCACTGGGTATACAGTATGTGAGGGTTTACAACCACATTAAAGATCTTTGTCAAAAACTGAGCCTCTCCCACACAGACCCCACATTTTTTTGAGACTGAGTAGGTATGACTAGGAATCATATAGAACACAGAAGATTCAGTTCATAAAGCCGTTAGTTATTTTTACTAGCGCGTGATAATTTTCACATCAGAGATGCTCAAATTATCAAAATTTACACAATTCAATATTCAGTACATCTCTACAGTACATGTACATTTCTCTTCTTTTATTTCTCTTTTAAAAATGCAGCAGCTACAGAAAAATGCACATTGATCCACCAGAACTCTAGTAAGCTCTTAACTTCATTGTTTCATTGCTCTAAAATACCAAACAGCACTGTCAACACCCTCTCCCCCATTTATCATGGAGATAAGAAGGGGTGGGGTGTTCTGTAGTCTAAGTCAAGAGCGAGCAGCCTAGGGTGGCAACAGCAAGTGAGCATTTACATCCTAGGACAGGAAGTGTGTTATTAGCAGGATTACAAAATGAAAAAAGCCTTAAAGAAAACGAATGCAGTCGCCATATCTAAGGACTGATAATATTCAATATATTACATATTATGCAACTGAACAAGTTCAAATGTGGAAAGGTTGAGACAGCTCGGTACATCCGATTTAGTGTAGTGAAATAATGATAGCACAATTACAGTGCATTACTAATGATTTTGCACTGATTGCCATTATGACCTCTTGTCTTCTACAGGACCTGCTATCGGCGATGTCTAACAGACTGCAGCTCTGGAGGTCCATACACCCTGCAGTACAAGCTATTGACATTGCCGTATGGGATACCACCCAATCACGATGTCATTCGTCTTAGCGCCTTCTCGGAAGGGGGGCTTCTACAAAACCGAACCAGCTTCACGGCCCTGGAGCAAGACTCAGGAAGCCCGTTTGCCATCCGGGATGAAGGGGGTCATGGCCTCATCTATACATTGCGGTCACTGGACACCTCTGGAGTATACAGGATAAAAGTACAGGCGGTGACTCATACTGAACAGCAAGGGGTGCGATACCAGAGCGTCTTCATCATCTACATCTCTGTATCACCATATCCATACTGAGACTGAAACCTAAACTCGGAGGAATGGTGGGAGGTTCTGAACTTCAACTAAAGAGCCAGCCAAACACTGAACCTCCTCTTCTAGAAACATATTTTTATACTCGAAGCCAGTATCACTATTTGACATGTCCTGACTGTGGGTTGCTGGCACTACCAGCTACTAGTTTATGGGGTGCCAACCCAAGTATGATGACCAGACAACTGTCAGCAGCAAAAGGCTGTCCTCCACTGGTGAGGTCATCACAATCCTTTGGTGCTATTGCCACTTCTGTGATGGAAGCCCAATATATCTTGATGAAGAACACAGGAATGGCAATGATATTATTTAATGCAAGGTGCTATGATGTGTGCTAAGCCTTAGCCACCACCCAGCTTTTAGCAAGTTAGAAAAGTGCAAGATTTCTGATTGGTTGATATGGGTTACTTAACTTTTCCTCTTCAATTGCGTATACAATAAGGCACCGTGAACAGCAATGTGTTGCAACCCAAAACAAGCAGAAGTCAAGAGCACAGAGCAAACAGAATACTAAAAGCAGCCTGGTGAATCATTGTTGGGCATTGCACTCCTAATGTGCTAGACTTTGCAGGAAAACAGTAGTCAATAAAATGATATATCAACCAGTTCTTGGATTTAAATCTTACCCCTACAGGTGTCATGACTCCTGTCATAAGATAATGAACCAGTGACTGGCAGGATGATCTAGAACTTGTAGTCCCTCCAGAAGTTGGGATGTTATTTAATGGGTGTGTTGGGAGGTGTATACAATTCAGCTATTGTCTCAGGAAAAGGATTTAGAGCACTGCAACTGACTCAGGCTTTACACCTCCTATCAGCCCCAAGGAACTTCTTCACTGCCATCATGACCAAACCTTGGCCACTGTAGTAGACAGGCTCTGTAGAAAATCTGCAACTGAGGTATCAGGCTGGATTAGTTAGGAATATACTCCAGGCAAAGTCAACATTGCAGAGACTCATTTTAAGGGAATGAGGTGGACTGCTGTACTGTAGAACCACCTATGTTCAAACTGTGTAAGGTATTCTTAATCCTACCTCAAAAAGGTGACCATTTTTCCTCAGGGGCGGCAACCTCTGCCATATTCTTCTTATCCTGTGCATTTCCCACTTCTCTTCTGATTTGGGTTCCCCTGTTCTCCTCAATGCATCCCCATTGTGAATCCACATCTCCTGTGCTCTTCTTTGACGCCCATGTTTGATCTTGGCAGCTCCATGTTGTCTTTGTTTTATACTCCGTTCCTCAATGCAGCTCCATTCTTCTCCCCGCTCCCCCATTCTTCTCCCCGCTCCTCCATTCTTCTCCATTCTGCCCCATTCTTCTCCCCGCTCCTCCATTCTTCTCCATGCTGCCCCATTCTTCTCCCTGCTGCCCCATTCTTCTTCCCGCTCCTCCATGCTGCCCCATCCTTCTCCCCCTGCTCCTCCATGCTGCCCCATCCTTCTCCCCCTGCTCCTCCATGCTGCCCCATCCTTCTCCCCCTGCTCCTCCATGCTGCCCCATCCTTCTCCCCCTGCTCCTCCATGCTGCCTCATCCTTCTCCCCCTGCTCCTCCATGCTGCCTCATCCTTCTCCCCCTGCTCCTCCATGCTGCCTCATCCTTCTCCCCCTGCTTCTCCATGCTGCCCCATCCTTCTCCCCCTGCTGCCCCATTCTTCTCCCATGCTCCTCCATGCTGACCCATTCTTCTCCCGCGCTCCTCCATGCTGACCCATTCTTCTCCCGCGCTCCTCCGTGCTGACCCATTCTTCTCCCGTGCTCCTCCATGCTGACCCATACTTATCCCCAGCTCCTCCATTCTGCCCCATTCTTCAGCACGTAACCTTGTTTATGGCCTGGATTCACTAATTAGGTAGGAAAAAAGCAGGTATGTGCAGGGTTCAGTCCCTCATAGTATCCAATCAGATTTGACTTTCCAGGGATCGGATTAGTGCAAAGTGAATTCTAATTTCACTCTGCACATTGCCTTTTCTCTTTTGAAATATAGTCTGATATGAGGAACAATATTATAAGAAATGTGTATATTTTGCTATTGACTAATTTGTGGTTAATTGATGATTTCATCCCATGGAGTCTTATCAGAATTTTTTTTTCATCCTTCCATTACCTAACTGAAATTGTCCAAATGTGTTTCACTGCAATCATCGCCCTAATTGAAAGCTCCTGAAATAAAATCGCAGCCGTGGCAGATTATGTTCAGTTAGATGTGACTGATGAGAAGAGTAAGGTACAATCGCTGCACAAGGAAGCAGAGCCTGCCTATGTAATAGGCAAATACGGCTGCCCCTGTTGACATAGATGAACATTATACAGAACAATAGTAAACATGGATAAGATGATTTTAATCACTTTTACATGTATAGCTAAAAGACAATGACCTTCCATTTAATACAATTCAGTTTATGGAAGAAACACGGCTGCGATTGCTGATTTGTTCTTAAAGTGAATGTAAACCACAACAACTAAAGCTGGCCGTATGTGGATTGAAATTTGTTTGGATCAGTAGGGAGGCTGAGGATAGAACTATGTATGGGCAGGCTGATTGTACGCAAGGTGATCCATTAATCCAATAGGGCACAACCACCCTATTGGATTTTTCTACATGCAATTACTGCCAGTGGCTACAGCTGCTAGCAGTATTCATTGTGTTATGCCAGCCAGCAAGGTTCACAGCACACAACTTCCCCTCCCCGCCGGCAGAACATAATAGTGTTGCAGGAGGCATTCCCATTGTGGAAGCAAAAAAAAAGAATCAAGTAGGGGCTGCCTAATTCTTAGTTGAGCCCTTTTAGTCTGTTATATACACCATTGAATGCATTTTGAAATACCTGCGTGATAAGTGCAAAAAACACCCGTTGATCCTGCCAAAAACCCAGTGAGCTGTCAACTCTGTTCTTTCCTCGTTTGCTGCATTGAAAAATTCCCAAGCAGCTATTAACCCTGTGAACTAAAGAATATGTTACCCCTATGTTATAGAAATGAGGAGAGGTTAAGTGTTCTGTATTAACCCCAGCCGTATGCATATATGTGGCAACACAGTGGAGGGCTTTACCATTGAGTTGCCACTTACTGTAAATGCATACAGCCAGTAGCCCTTGTTTGTGCGCAGAGAGTGCTCATTCAGCTCCCCCATCACAGTAACTGTGCTGTCACTGAGAGTTCCCAGTCACTGTTAATGATCGAGAGCTGGTGGTGGGCTCCTGATCATGTGTTCACTGTATACAACACATTCAATCACAGTGATCACATGACTGTGGATTCTAAAAAAACAACTCCCACCAGCTAGAAAGGGTTAGTGACAACACTTGTTCTCCATTGATACAGTACAGTGAGTGAGGGTTGTCACTGGGGGGCGGGAGGTGTGTTACATGCAGGACCTGGTTTAGGCTTGAAACATTACCCAACTCTTATGTTGACCCTTTTATAGCAATACGTCACTGACCTGAATGAGCGGGCGTACAAGGACTTGTTTACTTGTCGCAGGACAGTGAGAGTGTAGTTGCCAGTCAGTGAGAACAGCAGGACAGTGATAGTGCAGTTGTCAGTCAGTGAGCACAGCAGGACAGTGAGAGTGTAGTTGCCAGTCAGTGAGCACAGCAGGACAGTGACCGTGTAGTTGCCAGCCAGCACAGCAGGACAGTGACCGTGTAGTTGCCAGTCAGTGAGCACAGCAGGACAGTGACTGTGTAGTTGCCAGTCAGTGAGCACAGCAGGACAGTGACCGTGTAGTTGCCAGCCAGCACAGCAGGACAGTGACCATGTAGTTGCCAGTCAGTGAGCACAGCAGGACAGTGACCGTGTAGTTGCCAGCCAGCACAGCAGGACAGTGACCGTGTAGTTGCCAGCCAGCACAGCAGGACAGTGATAGTGTAGTTGCCAGTCAGTAAGCACAGCAGGACAGTGACCGTGTAGTTGCCAGTCAGTGAGCACAGCAGGACAGTGACCGTGTAGTTGCCAGTCAGTGAGCACAGCAGGACAGTGACCGTGTAGTTACCAGTCAGCACAGCAGGACAGTGACCGTGTAGTTGCCAGTCAGTGAGCATTAGAACCAGACAGCTATCATGTTTAGTAAGAGATGTGTCATGGCAGCTTAAACAGGCAAATGAATCCTTTAACACAATGCTTCCAGAGGATTTATTAAAGGCTGATTGTATATATTGGTAAAGCAGTCTTTTACCTTGTTCACACTGGTAATGGGCAATGTAAGGGCTTTCCAGATGGTGAGGAATGCATACCATGCTGAACAGAGTTCTTCAGCCCCTCAATGATCTACAGGATAGTCATGGCAGTGGAGAAGGGACATGGCCAAATCAAATCGGGAAGCACTAAAAATACAACATAGGTGAGGGAAGACTTCACACAACCTGGTTCTTCTACACATGGAGCAGATGTGGGTATAAGGCTTCGGATTTTACTCTTTTTTTTTTATTATTTACTGTTGGGTTATTTATTTTTTTTGTTCAAATAAAGTCTTTTATACTGTTGTTATACAGGTGGGCATTTGTGCTTTTATATTGGCGTCGCTTTTCACAACAAAGCCAGCCATTGGTCCATTTTACTAATTACAAGCAGAGGAATAACAGATTCCACTGAAGTGAGCCCAATGTTATCCCGTTCAATGAAGAGGCAAAGTTTTGCTAGTAGGAACATATGGAGAAGGCACTTGGCCCATGTATGGGAGAAGGCCTATTTGTTGTCACAGGGAACCAAACAAAAAGCCCGTGTCAACCAAAACAAATGAAATAATGGACACATTGAAATATTTCAGCTTTGCACAGAAAAATCACTTCATGCTAAAAAAAAAGACCCATTCCAAACCGAGCAAGACTTGTTAATTTATTGAAGATCCCACCAGCCCACAGGCTGGGTAATACTGTACATTAGGTATTACTAGAACACAGCAGCATGCACTTCACAGTGAAGAAAACATAAACATGAGGCAGATTACAGCACATGGTTTAAAGCTAAGAAGGCAGTCTAGTGGATT